TACTTCTAAAACTATCTTTAAGTTAAGGAAAATGTAACTTTTAAGAAAAACAGGCTTATAGCCATTTTTGCAGCACACATTAGGAATACTATTTATACATTAACTTTGAAGAGTTTTATTACAAGAAGTATGTACTCATTACCTTGACAGAAACCTGGGGCAGGGGAAGAGAGGAAGCAGGGAGGGGCTGCAGGGCTGGAAGCAACACCCAGGTATAAACACTATAAAAATGCAATAACCGATGCTGTACATCTACAAATCTTCTCTCCAACACTCAACTTCTGTGTTAATCCTGTTTACGCATGCTTTCAAAGACATGCACTGTCAGAACAAAAATTATAAAAAAACCTGAATGCATGATATGCAGCCTTTCATTTCATGCTTTAGTAAACCTATTGTTTTAAGCTGGAAAAAGAAATCAATATATATTTTCTATATTTATAGACTCAACACATGCATCTGGGGACAGTCCCCAGCAACGACATGAATGTACTGCATTAACCCTGAGCACTGTGTAACAGAAAAGTAAAGCCAGTTTGGGAAGTTCCAAGCATCTTAAACCAACTGTGTTTGTTGCCTTCAGCAAATGCACAAACAGACCGATGTGGGCGCACGCGCACATACCCCCGCTGCTTACCCCAACGGAAGTGTATGGGAAACCCAGGGGAGGCAAAAGGAAAGACACGTACTACCATCGGCACTGCTAATTTTCAGTTTTGCTACCTATTCCAGGTTTGTCCTTATTCCCAAAAAAATTAACTATAGAACACAACCAAAAAAAAATATATAGAATTCTTTGGAAACTGTCCCTGATTTTTATGCAAATGATATGCCCCACAGCATCTCAGACACACCCGTGCTGCCACCTGTCTGTCCTTCAGGCGTTGCTCAAGTTGGCGATGCTCTGTGGGTGATGCTGCTGCCACAGCTGTTTCTGCTGGACCGCAAGCTGCTGAGACTGGTCCGAAGTTGACAGGAGATTTACGAGAGGAGACACACAATTTGCCGGAATGATCAAGCCTGTAATTAGCAACACGAACTTACAAAGTTTCACCCAGTAGAGACCATACTGCACCTTACAACTTCACAGCAGTTTCCAAACGAGAAGGAGTAAGTTTCAGTTTAACAAACAAGAACTTCACACGTAATTTTACTGAGTACCAAGTAACTGCAATGGTGCATTAAGATGTAACCTGGTTCCCAGGCAGGGTTTCCCACACGCCACAAGCACACGCGTGTGACTACGGGACACCATCTTCTTATTGAAGGGAGGGGTCAAGCACAGCGCTTTTCCACCTACCATCTTTTCCAGCTCCACAAAGTGCAGACATCGCCTTCTTGCCATGCACACAGGCACAGAACAACTCCAACACTAGAGGTGCCAACTCTAGTGTTCGCCCAGCAGGGCACTTTGCAGTGGGCAGAGAGCAGAGAGGAGGGAGCTGGGACACACAGCCCCGGCGAAGGGAATGTCCTCTCTGCGGTGAGAGATGTGAAGGCAGTGCTCCAGAGCAGCATTTTAGAAACGTGCTGGAAATTCCGACTTTTACACGAAATGCCTTTCTCATTTCTAAATGTGGCAACTAATTCAAATAAAAACTTGTCACCACTAAAAATAGTTGAGAGCCAAAAACAAAACAAGAGTCCATTCCTGGATTGACTCTGGCCCACAGACTATACAGAGGAGGGCTGCGGCTCATGCCCGTGGCCTGCTCGATGCAACACTGCAGTGCAGGAGTAACGGACCGGCTGCTTCCCTGGAGACTAGGGGCACCCTCTGCGCTCCACAGCATGGGTCCCGGAGAAGGGGCTTTACTGAGGCCCAGGCAGGCAGGGAGCACGGGCCACAAGCACAGCATTATAGAGACAGCCCACGGTCACTACAGCCAGGTCACGACGTCCCACCCAAGGACAGCCCCTGCCTCATCCTACAGGACACATAAGCAAGTTCTATACCCCACTGCGGGCATGGATGTGAGATGCCTATGGAAGGGAGCTAAGGGACCAGAGGCAAAGCAAAAATGGCTGAATCTGATTTTTCCACACAAACGAAGCAAAACAAAAATCAGACTCACCTACAATCCGCTGTCCATCTTCTGTTCTTAGCCGAACTATCTGCATTTTCACGTTGGTGCCACTGACGGATGCGAGGACACCCTCCACTTTTGTCCACACACTCAGGACCGAGCCACACAGGACATAATACGTGCGGCAGCGAAGACCTATTTCACAGACTAATCCCAAGCTCGCTTTTTTGCAATTGCCACGCCTGAGAAGGACAGGGAGAAAAAACTCTCATGTTTACATGTGCACACACACCTCCGTGAAAGGCTTCCAAGGCCTGTACAAACTTCAAATGGGACATCTAGCCACTTTATAGTACCTAGGATTTTACCGCAGAATGCCAGCCTCTTAAATCACCCTGTCAGCTATATTATTAAATTCCTGATAACACTGTTCCAAATCAAGTTAGTGGGAAAGACCTCAGTGACCAAAAATGAGAAACACCGTAGGTAGACTTCAGGAGAACTGAGGAAACAGGAGATGAACCAGTATTTTATGGTCACAATAATCGTCATCATTCACTAGTTAGAAATCTTCTGGGCAGCATCAAATTGAGAAACACAGGCAGTGTTAACTGCATACATATGGGCACGCTTCATGCTACGACACAAAGCAAATGTTTCAGAGAATGTTCAGACAATAACTTTTTTTTTTCCTGTTTTTTTTTCCAGTACCGGGAATCGAACTCACAACCTTTCGCTTGCCGGGCAGGCGCTGTGCCGCTGAGCTAAAACTCCAGCCCCTAGACAATAAATTTTGAAATGTTTTATCCTGAAGAGTTCTAAGCGTTGGTGCCCCTTACTTACTAGTTGCTGTGGGTCAGGGTTCTTAGGCATGGAAAAAATAACGTTTCTTTTTAGGGTATTTTTTTTTGGTGGTGGGGTACGCTGAGACAGGGTTTTACTATGCAGTTCAGGATGGCCTGGAACATGGCCTTTGTACCCCAGGCTGGCCTCGAACTCACAGCAACCCTCAGCCTCAGCCTCAGCCTCCCGAGGGCTGGGATTATAGGTGTGAACTACTACACCCAGCTGGACTTCTCCTAAACTTTAACCTTCTTTTTTTTGTTTTATCGTTTGAGATAGGGTCTCACTGTGTAGTTCTGGTTAGTCTTGAACTATGTAGCACAGCCTGGCATCAAATTTATGGTGATCCTCCTGCCTCAGCCCTCCGGGTGCTAGGATTATAGGCGTGTGTCACCATGCCTGGCTCTGAATTTCTACTTCCAATAGCACTAATTTGCATACAAAAAGCAAACACAGTATTGTTCACATCAAAGAAAATTTAGTTATCTGTATGAGTCAACAAACTGAGCTAAAATTCATTGTTCTTTTTTACACAGTGGCCCAGACAATGCAAGAACATTCACTATTTGATGGGTTAAAAAAAAAATACTGGAAAATTAAACTCTGTAGAGTACAACAGTCTGCACAAGGTCCTGAGATAAACCCTGAGAAGGGCGTGCTGGCAATCACAACAGGGTGAGCTCCAGAATGGAGCAACACCAAGTTTTCTTGTGCTGTGCTGCCACTTGGTCTTCTAATTTCTTAAAAGTTCCAAAGATTTGACCACCAGCAAGACTTTCATAAAAAGACAGGAAGGATGAAACAAAGAGAGGAAGAGGAAGAAACAGAAAAAGCAACTCGTGGCACCAAGAATGACAGCTAACAAGAGCGGGTCGGAAGGGACAAAGCATCTGCCAAGAGCGGCGGGAACCTGAGCAGTACTGGTCTACACACGCGCGCCACGGACAGCACGCCGACAACAGCGCGCTCGTTTGTTTACTCACAAGGATCAATCAGTAAAGAGGGAAGGTGCATTCAAATCCTGACTGTACTCTGGAAAATAAGGCGAGAAACATGGAAATACTAACCAATAAGCATGAGTACAAGTATCTGCAGATGAATTATACTGGTCTAACCAATGGACAAGGGCATCATCTGAGACTACCTGTGGAAATAAAACAAAATTCCATTGAAACAGTGCCGCTTTAAATGAAGTAGTCCAGAGACAGCCAACGTAAAAGCATCCCTATTCAGAAAACCCAGGTCTTGCGCCCAGCTTGATTTAAATGCCATTCAAAATGTTCTGCCATGTTTCCTCTGATGTACTGAGTTCTTCAAACGGTTTAGTGAATTGTAGTTGTTTTCAAATTAGAATAGCTAGGAAAAGTAATTTAAGGAATTAGTAAGAATAAAAACTGCAGGTAATATTTGGAAAACTAGTTACTTACTATTTTGTAGAAATCCCTGCAAGATACAAACATTGTTGCCTGCACGTAACAAAACCCAAAGGAATTTTGGTCTCATGGCCTCGTATATCTTCCCTGTAGTTAAGCGCTCTAATCACTGTAGTCAGCACTAAAAGCTACAGTTACTGACAACATACACTGTTTCAAATCACTGCCTTATTAGTTTCTTAAAGGCTGATAACAAGACTAGGATATTAGTATAACAAAGTTTGGTATTATTCTGGAAATTATCTTTTAAACAGTAACCAAAAAAAAATTGACACAGTAACTTTATATCTAGATATAACCATCCTTGACATGATTTCTACACACAAGGAGTAATCACAAAATGCAGTAAATGTCTGAATTTAATAAAAACTTTTTGTTTTTGTTTTTCTTCCGGTACCAGGAATCAAACTCACGACCTTGCACTTGCCAGGTAGGCGCTTTGCCGCTGAACTAAATCCCCAGCACCCCCGCAAAAAAATAAAAAAATAAAAAAAAAATAAATCCCTAGCCCCAGTAAAAACTTTTTATACTATAAGACACATGGCCAAAAAACAGAGTAAGTGTGTTCAAAGTGAGGGTGACTATTTGGAGGGGAATCAATGGCATTTTGTTTTTTGTACCAGAAATTGAAATCAGGACCTTGCGCTTGCCAGGCAGGCACTGTGCAACTAAGCTATATCACCAGGCCAAGCAATTTTTTTTCTAGTGTAAAAATTTTTAAAAATTTATTTTAGCATTCATCATAGTTTTGATGACACTACACACATGCATTTTGGTAGTACTGGCGATTGAACCTATAGCCTTATGCATGCTAATCAAGTGCTTTACCACTAAGCTACATCTTCAGTCCTTTTCATTTTTTAATCTTGAGACAGTGTCTCATTAAGTTGACCAGGATGGGTTCAAACTGCCTAGCCTCCCAAGTAGCTTGGAGTACAGATATATGTTACTGTGCCAGGCTGTTTCAGTATCACAAACAAGTATTTATAAGTGGTATAATGTACAATTAAGAATATACCTTGTAGGCCGGGCGTAGTGGCGCACAACTGCCATCCCAGCACTTGGGAGGCTGAGGCAGGAGGATCACTGCAAGTTTGAGGCCAGCCTGAGCTACGCCTGGGTCACTGCAAGTTCAAGGCCAGCCTGAACTATACAATGAGACCCTGTCTCAAAAAAAAAAAAAAAAAAAAATACCTTCTTATACTTCTTCTTGAGATCAGCATAAATTTCTAATTTGAGCTGTTTTCCAGTATTTGGTCGATAAACTAAGAAAAGTTTCTTTTTAGGGTTTACTTCCTTAACTAGAATGGCAGTTTTCTTGTTGTTCCTTATCTGCAGAGAGAAAAAAATGGCAAAACCGCATTAGTTGATATTGCACACTTTAAAACATGTTTGTATAGCATCACATCACCAAATATAGCCATTCAAATAAGTCTAACACCGGAGCTGGGGATTTAGCTCAGCGGCACAGCGCCTGCCTGGCAAGCGCGAGGTTGTGAGTTTTCCCAGTACCGGAAAAAAAAAAAAACAGAAAAAAACAAAACAAAAACAAAAGTATAACACCAAACAATTAAGTGCATGAGTATGTAACTTCAACAAGGGAAGACCACAACTGCTTGCTCATGCTTATAGCGAAGTTCCACCCAGGAAACAGCTATCTAATTTGAGGTAATAATATAGAGGTTGAGAGTCACAGTATTCTTTTTTATTTTTTTTGAGACAGAATCTTACTATGTAGTAGCTCAGGCTGGTCTTAAACTCACTATATAGCTAAAGCCGGCCTCAAACTCGTGCTGATCCTCCTGCCTCAGGCCTCCCCAGTGCTGAGATTACAGGCATGTGCCACCACACCTGGCTCTGGCTCACAGTATTCTTCAGAAAACTTCTACCTTCTGTTCCCCATACATGGAATCACAGTTAAGCGGCCTCAAATAGGCAGAAAAATCAAGTATTATAAAAAGTAGAAGGCGAGTTCGAGACTAGCCTAGGCTACCTAAGTGAGTTCAAGGCCAGCCTGTACTACATAGCAAGACACTGTCTCAAAAAAAAAAAAAAAAAAAAAAAAGAAGGAATTAGGTCTTTGCTTAATTCTCTGTCTTAATTTCTTTTTTTCCCCCTCTGGTACTGGGAATCGAACTCACAACCTTGCGCTTGCCAGGCAGGCGCTGTGCCACTGAGCTAAATCCCCAAGCCCCCTCTATCTTAATTTCTCATAATAAAATTTTAGAAAAAAATTACTCTCCTTCAACTAACAATGAACTTTAACCTCTTCTGAGATGCTACCCAGGTGGCCCTGGACCTCTGCTTCCACCTGTCCTATTATCCTACCTTTCTCTGTGTTGTAAGATGAAATAAAAACAATAAAGCCCAGATAGTACACAGCCCAAAAAATGCTGAACAAATCACCCCAGAACAGCTGTGCAGAAGCAAGAGCATTAGCCGGCCGAGGTGGCGCTCGCCTCTATTCCAGCACTCAGGAAGCACTCAGGAAGCACTCAGGAGGCTGCGGCAGAAGGATACCTGTGAGTCTGAGACCGGCCTGGGCTACAGTGAGCTCAGGCCAGCCTAAACTGCATAGCAAGACCCCGTCTCAAAAAAAAAGAAAACGTGTGGGAGAAGTAGAGAAGAGGTGGAACTCAGACGGGTGTATGTAGCTATCTGCCCCTAAGTGCTGGGGACTGAACATAGAGCTTTCCCTGAGAAGCTATAGCTCCAGCTTTCTAAATTATTGTTTTATAAATTGTAATCATTCTGCATTTTGAGGCAGGTTCTGTAAGTTGCCCAGGCTGAGCTTGAACTTGCAATATGCGTGTTTCATCCTAACAATGCAAGGATGACAGGCATGTACCACCATGTCCAGCTTGTTCTCTTTTTCAATGAGATGGTATCTTGATATGCTGACAAGTAGGACTACAGTTGCAAATCAGCAGGGTATGGTGGCACACACCCGTAATCCTAGCAATTGCAAGGCTGAGGCAGGAGGATTGCTGTGAGTTCAAGGCCAGCCTAAACTACACTCAAGACCTTGTCTCAAAAAAAGAAACCACACACACACACACAAACCCCAGCTCACATGGCCTCTAGCACATAACTGGAAGGCAAATTTCAAGATACAGTGGTGCCTTGGTTCACAAATTTAATTTGTTCTATGATTTTGGAAAAGATGGGCACTGTTTGTGTTTGTGTGGAAAAGACGGCCATGGTCACGTTTGTCATTCAATGCAGAGTTAGCAAACAAAAAAAATTTTTGCCAAACACTTGTTTGTGAACCAAACTGTTTGTAAACCAAGGAGTTCGTGAACCAAGGTACCAGTGTAAAAGCATTTCCTCACGTCTCCAGTAAATTAAGAGCACTGTTTGCTGGGTTATTCATTTTTCTCTTTCAGTGGAACTAGAAATTAAAGCCAAGGCATTTACACTAATCTACATTCCCAGCCCTTTTTAAATTTTTTATTCTCACTTAGTATCTCACTAAGCTACCCAGGCTGGCCTTGAATTTATGACCCTTGTGTCTCAGCCTTCCAAGCAGCTCGATTGCAGGCATGCACTACCATGCTTGGTTTTGAACTTTTTATTAAGATTCACAACTACCTAGAAGGCCGAGGCAGGGGGATTGAAAGTTCCAGGTTAATCTTTGTAACTGAGCAAGATCCTGTCTCAAAATTTAAGAAGGGGGGTGCAGCTCACAGGTAAAGCACGTGTGTGAGACCCCGGTTTCAATAAAAATGTTACAATGATAAAAGTACATTTAAATATCCTCTTCATGGATATTAAAGATCTTTTGTTTTTCCCTTGTTCAAATGATAAGAAACATTATTAAGTCATCAAACAATACATGAACTGAAAAAGTATACTCAGGTAATTCAACACAACTAACGGAAATCCAAGTGATAGTGGCAACTGCTTCCCTAAGGGCAGCACACAGCGGACACAGCACACCAAGAGTGCTTACTGCAGGGGCCTCAGCCAGTCCTGGAATGGTGCCCCCCCCAGCCATGGCTCCTGCCCCCAGCCACTGTGGCCATGCAGGGAAACAACAGCCCAGTGTTACTGTAGCCTTCCATTCACGGGAAGCGGGAACACAGGACTTTTATCACAACCCACCAACAGCTGCATTCCGGCAACAATCTCAGATTAAAAACCATCAATGTGCAATATGAAACAATCAAAACAGCATCTATGAAGAAAGCTAAATAAAACAGGTAAACTAGACGGGAAGAAGAAAACGAGAGGAAAAGAAAAATTCAAAATAAAAAAACTACAGCCCAGTTAGGAATTAGATGGTTGGAAGGCTTCATATCAGGCACCAGTAGTGACCTAGGCCTGTGGACCAAACCCATCCTGAGGCTCTTAAACTTAAACACAGTTTAAAGCCAAGTGTGGTGGTGCACGCCTGTAATCTCAGCACTCAGGAGGCTGAGGCAGGAGGACCGCTGCAATTTCACAAATTCGAGGCCAGCCGGGGCTATGATGTAGTGAGTTCAAGGCCACCCTGAACTACATAGCAGACTCTGTCTCTCAAAACCAAACCAAACCAAGCAGACAAAAAACAGCTTAAAAAAGGGAGGTTGGAAGTGGGGGGAAGAAAGAGATTAAGGAAGATAGGGAGAAAAACATCCCAAAGGAAATATGACATGGTCTACAGAGAGCCTACAAACCTAGAACATTTATTTACTATCTACCCGGCCCTTTAGAGAAGTATGCGGTAACAGTTTTGAAACAGGAAGCAGCAATGGTTGAAAACACTGGGAATGTGACTTATCTCAGTGAACTGCATCCTTTTCTCTCTCGTCTGAGACAGAGATCAAAACAATGTGAGACAAATGCTATACTGTGCTACATTATCACCAGCCCTTTATCTGAGACAGGCTCTCACTAAGCTGTGCAGAGTGGCCTAAAGCTCGGCAGTCATCCTGCTTCAGCCTCTCCAGTGGCTGGGATTCTGGCTGTGTACCACCCACCCAGTGAACTGTAGCCTGAAAAATAATCACCTACAGTCCCAGCTACTTAGGAAGCTGAAGCATGATTTCATGTTTAGGGTCAGTGCTGCCAACATAGCAAGCAAGACTTTGTCTCAAAATTCTGAAAAAAGCCTGGGGATGTAGACTACTTGCCTAACATTCAAAAGCCCGAGTTTTACCCCTAGTATGAAAAAACAAAAATAAAGCTTGGTGAATAAAAAATGATCAGAAACAGCCTATGACATGCCTAGGAACCCTGACCCAAGGCAACTACTAAGTGGCACCAACTCATCAGCAGGCAGGACTCACACACTGCTCCCATACACCCTTCCGGCACAGTCTGCTACGGAATGGTACGAAGACAGAAACAACAAAGTGAAGCTCAGGTGAAGTAAGCAGGCACTTGCTGCTCCTGCCCTACAGAGCTAAGACAAAATAAGGCTTAAGATCAGCCTAAACTACATAGCAAAACCCTGTCTTAAAAAACCAAAATCAAAAATAAATAAATAAATAAATAAATAATTTTTTTAAAAAGGCAAAAAACCAAAATCAGTGTACGAAGGTGTGACAGTTTTGCTTCTGGTTCTGTGTTCTTACATAAGAGCCTAAGGCTTTTTCTCTCGCCAGTATGGTGCTGTGGAATGTAAACTTCCTCAATGCCACTTGTCTCCTTTTCTCTTGTTACAAAGGACGGCAAGAAACTATTACTAGAACTCTGAGTAATAATAACTAATTCATAAACGATCTATAAAAAGAAAAAAAAAATCACAACTGGACATAGTGGTATACGCCTATAATCCCAGCACTCAGGAGGCTGAGGCAGGAGGATCACTTCAAGTTCAAGGCCAGCCTGGGCTACAAGGAGAGCTCAAGACCAGCCTGAACTCTATCGCAAGATACTGCCTCAAAAAGACAAAAGACAAAAATTGAAAAAGGACTCTTTAACATCCCTTGAAATAGATTAAGTAGAAATGCATGTACATGGTCACCCAACTGTAAGAATAAATTATCACAATAGAGAAAACCAAACAAGACCAATCACTCCAGCATAAAGTGAAGATCCAAGGGCTCATAGTGAAAACCATTATTGATCTAAATAATTAACACTGAAGAGAACTCTTACTTGCAATGACAAGTAGAAGCCATCGTCTGGTCCTGTCAGCTCAGCCCAGATCTTGGTTGCTTCCTCCCAGGACATTCCCCTCTCTACGCTAATCTGTGAAAGAAATCACAAGATGTGAAAGGTAGACTCCCTCCTGTAAATGCCAGTCCAAGGACTCGCCCCAAGCAGGAGCACCATTCCAAACTCACCGTGTATAGCTCTACGTGGCCGGAGGTTGAGTATCCTGGCGTCAGAAACTTCTTCACATCACTTTTCCTCACCTTTTCATCTCCGGAACCAAGATCTTGAAAAAGAAAAACCAACACAAGATGCAAAAAGGACACCTTGGAGCGGGGATATGGCAGTGGCACAAATGCCTGCCTGACAAGCGCAAGGTCCTGAGTTCCATTCCCAGTACCAGAAATTTTAAAAATTTTTTAAAAAAGACACTTCTATCGAAAACACACATGACAGCTTTACATTTTCCCACTTACCCAGGATTCCCATGTCGTATCTTCCATTTTTTTTGGCATTCTGAACAACTGCGGTAAGTGTGTCGGCAAAATACTGAAATAACGCATTCTGTTGATGCACTTCCATGCCCAGAATTCTATTTAAGAACTTTCCAATGTTGTTATAATCTGCAACAAGATTACACAATTTCATGCACTCAAATGGTAATTAGCATTTTAGAAAATTCAACCTGGCCAACTTCAAACCCACTTTCTTTTCTACAGCATTCCCCCCTAATTCTTGTCTTGCCACGCTGTCAGGGCCGTAACTGGCCCAGGTCAACCTCTAGCACATTACCATTGCAGCACATACTCAAGAAATGTTCACTGAATTGACTTTGGGCATCTTCAACTTCACTTAAGCCCCATGTGAACACGACCTAGTACATGAGGATGTAGGGTTACCAACATAAAAGCTGAACTCAAGAGTATAACTGTGGCGGTGGGGGCGGGGGGGGGGTAGAAATATACCTCAGCAGCAGCACAATCACCTGCCTGACAAGTGCAAGGTCCTGAGTTCAAATCCTGATACCAAAAAAAAGTGTAAGTGCTGTGTAGTCAGTGACCCTTGACCTGGCTACACAACTGGAACTTCTGGGCAATGTGGAAAACTATCAATGTTCAAGAAACATCCATGGGCTCAATATTTTATAAAAGCTTGACAGGTGATCGTACGTGTAGCCAGGGTTGAGAACTGCTGTTTCATAATCTCCTCTGAATAACTACAGCAGCCAAAACTAACCAGAGTGCTCAACGTTGGGAGATGAAGAACAACTGACCTGATGCTTCCCTCCCCTTAGCTAAGAGAAGCCCATGTAACAAAACAGGCTTCACTAACACAGCAACAATTCCAAGTATACAGAAAGTTAATATTACCTTTATCAAGAGTAAGAATTCCTGAGCGATCTTCTACATTTATCAGGCCAACACCTATTAGTCCTTGTCGAACATCTGTAAGAAAATAAACTTACCCTGTGATTCCAGCATTTTGGGAGGATGAGGCAGGGGACTGCAAGTTCAAGTCAAACCTGGGCAACTTAGCAAGATTCCATCTCAAAAATTTAGAAAGGGGCCAGAGATGTAGCCCAGTGTGAAGACCCTGGGTTTAATACGCACTGCCCCCACAAAAAAGAGAAAGTTATCAAAAATACCTTATAACTAAGCTGGGTGTGGCAGAAGATCAAAAGTTTAAGCCTAATCTAGGCAACTTAGTAAGATAAAGTTGGAAGTAAAACAAAAAATAAAAGAATTGTACGGGGGTGCCCTGGGAAGGAGTTCAGTAGTAGAGTATTTGCCTAGCATGAGCTCAATCCCCAGTACCACTGCAACAAAACAAACACACATAAAACTCAGACCTAAACTCCAATGACTCCAGGAGACTTCAGCATGTTAGCCTAGTGCCAATCTTCAACCAACGACTAAAACTGAATTTTAAAAGCTACCGACGTGATTTTAATTAATGTACCAAAACCACCTTCCTCTACTAGGTATAATATTAGAGATAACATAGGGGCTGGGGATTTAGCTCAGCAGCACAGCGCCTGCCTGGCAAATGTGAGGTCATGAGTTTGATTCCCGGTACCTGGGGGGGGGGGGAATTAGATAACATGCAATAAATTAAGAATAAAACCACTTTCATAGGCATATAAGGTTTTAACAAACCTGTTTCATTATGAAAAGCGAACACATATCTAGTCACCTTAAGATTTCTAAATCTGTTTTTTTTTTTTTTTTTGTCTTTTTGAGACAGGGTTTCGATATGCACTTCAGGCTGGCCTTGAACTCACTTTGTAGCCCAGGCTAGTCTCAAACTTGCAACGATCCTCCTGCCTCAGCCTCCCAAGTGCTGGGATTGCAGGCACGTGCCACCATACCCAGCATTTTGTTGTTTTTGAGACAGTCTTGATATATAGTTCAGACTGGCCTTAAACTTACAATGCAGTTTGCTGACCTCAATCTTGTGGCAATTCTCCTGCCTCAGCCTCCTGAGTGCTAAGATTACAGGTGCGTATGCCCAGCAAAATTTCTAAATTTTTTTTTTGCTGTTGTTGTTTTGAGACAGGGTTTCGCTATGCAGTTCAGGCTGGCCTTGAACTCACTTTGTAGCCCAGGCTAGTCTCAAACTTGCAACGATCCTCCTGCCTCAGCCTCCCAAGTGCTGGGATTGCAGGCACGTGCCACCATACCCAGCATTTTGTTGTTTTTGAGACAGTCTTGATATATAGTTCAGACTGGCCTTAAACTTACAATGCAGTTTGCTGACCTCAATCTTGTGGCAATTCTCCTGCCTCAGCCTCCTGAGTGCTAAGATTACAGGTGCGTATGCCCAGCAAAATTTCTAAATTTTTTTTTTGCTGTTGTTGTTTTGAGACAGGGTTTCACTATGCAGTTCAGGCTGGCCTTGAACTCACTTTGTAGCCCAAATGGGCCTCAAATGCACAATGATCCTCCTGCCTCAGCCTCCCAGAGTGCTGGAATTACAGGCATCCATCACCATGCCCAGCCTGAAATTTCTAAATTTTACAGTTTATGTATTGAAAAAAAAAAAAAAATCAAAACCGCTAAAACTACAACAAATGTTAGGAGAAAAAAGAATGTTAGAATGATTTTTACCACTTCCATACCAGTAATTACTTTTTTAATACGTATAATAATTCTTCTAGGTTACCTTTGAAAAATTCTCCAGGATAGTCTGGAGGTGGTGATACCATGGGAGAATCCAAATTTACAATGGATTTCATAACAATTTCTAAAGCATTTCTTCCATACTGAAAAAAAAAAATTATCCAGTTTTAGAATTTGGATACTTCACTCACAAAATCATTAGAATGCTGTAAGAACTATTACCAACCAAAAATTCAAAACCAGCAGTTCCCAATTATCTTTATGTATTTCTTACACTGCCAACTACTTGCTCCTATACACAACATTCAGTAAGTTAGCAACTAACTTAGGGCTGGGAAGATAGCTCAGCGGCACAGCACCTGCCTGACAAGTCAATTCCTGGTACCAAAAAAATCCCCCAAGAAACAAAAAAGACCAACTTGACTTCCAGGAGCTTGCACCTGACATCCACTCCCCAGGGCTTATTACATTCCTCCTTCCCAGAAGGGATGGGAAGGAGCTGCCTGCCTGCAGCGTACTCGCCAAAGGGCCCACATCAGCTGCAGCTGTATGTGCTGCAGGAGCGCTCCTGTTAAGGCTAACCCTGACGATGGCAGAGCTGTCAGCTGCCCTGCTAGGCTTCACTTTGGGGGCATTGGTGGCCTTCAAGCATGCACTCTCCATGCTGGCCTGACCTTCCAGGTTGAAACCATTTGTAACAATTTTCCCTGTTCTTTTTTTTTTTTTTTGCAGTACCGGGGATTGAACTCATGACCTTGCGCTTGCCAAGCAGGCACTTATGTCACTGAGCTATATCCCCAGCCCAATTTCCCGTTCATCACTGCAGTCCAGACACATCCCCAAGTTTTCTGAGAAGCGGAAGCTGAAATATACCTTATTGTCGAAGTTGAATCTGCTCAGATCCCGAGATTCTGTCGCTCTTCTGTCGCCATGTGTAAGCGCCCCCTAGCAAAGGAACATTTCCAATAAGGGCGTTAAGCCTGTACTGTCAGTCAGCCAACACAGGTCATCTTGTACTCGCACCTACACGACGTAAAACCTTACCAGGCTCTCAAGTCTTTTGGCAACAATAGAGGCAAATCTCTGTTCTCCTGCCAGTTCAGAAATCAGAAAGACATACTCGGGAGCAGTAACTTGGTTTGATCTGTGAGTTCTTCCTGTAACAACATTTTGATAGAGATCACTGACTTCGTTCACTAGACAGAATATTCTGAGATCTATTTCTTAGCACTAAGTTGGTACTTTAATGATAATATAATATTTTCCACAGTTTCCTAAGGGTACAAAAGTGAAAACGCTGATCTGAGTGGCATCTGTAGTCAGAGCACGATTCCCCCTTACACGGACTAGAACTTGCCACGAGACTGTTAAATGACACGAACATTATTATTGCTACCCTAGTTTCGGCTAACCAGAAAGTTGATGATACACAGCCATTCTCAGTTCTCCCACAGTTGTTTCTAAATCACCAGGCCACAGGACCACGAAACAGAAGGGAACAGTAACATGCTTTCCGTGGGGCCACTGAGGGCTGAAAGGGACACGCAAGCAGCAGCTGCTTTCATAGGTCTACACCAAAGACACCCCCAGGAGCCCTGCTCTTGGATAAGGCGCCAGCAGGCATAGGAAACTCCACCACAGATCCCTTAGTTTTAAAAGCAAGCAAGGAATGAATTTACAGTGCACTATACATCTTAAAATCATGCCCGATGTCAAATGCAATAAGGAAGGTGTCACAGTCTAAGACGTCTGACACTGATACGCACACATTTCCCCAAAGATTTCCAGCCATTTATCAAGTGAAATTCAGTGCAGAAACTTACCAAATTGCTGGATTGCTCTATCTGCACTCCAGGGTAATTCTAGAGTCATATGAACTCTTCGCCTTTGATTTTTAGCTCTGCGATCTGCTTGTAATGAAATACCTGAGCTGGCAGCTTCTGAGATGATAGCAATATTCTACATCACATTTAAGGAAAAAAAGGAGAAAAAGAAAATCACTTTTGCACAAGGACAAGCAGAGCAGCACCCTACACACGAAGTGCTTCAGCTGCCTCCACTGGTAACAGGACCCCGCGGCAGCTTGCCTACGGCCACCCAGACTCAAGATGAGCACTCCTGGTCTTCCTCACTGCTAAATGTGAAGATGTGGGCACACTGCAGCCCGCGGGTCTGCCTGACAGGAATAATGTCCAGGACAATTCCGTAAAAAGGAAGGGACAAGACTCTCTCTCTGCTAGCTGAAATGGAATAGCTGAATTTTGTTTCTGCAGTGCTGAGGACTGAGTCCAGGTCCTCCAAGTGCTAGGCAAGTGCTCTATCACTGAGCCACACACCTAATCCCAACACAGAGGCAACTGGAAGGTGGGGGCCCATAACTAAAGGAACAGAAAGCAGGCAATTGTGGCGCCTCCCTAGTCCAAGCTCCTCAGGAGACTGAGGTCAGAGGATCCCTTGTGCCCATGAGTTGGAGACTAGCTTGGGAACTTAAGAGAAACCTGTATCTCTTTTAAAAAAATAAAAAGAAAAGGGAAAAGAAGAAAAGAGGCCTGGTTTTGAAGGAGTCATGCTGGCCCCGCTCGATGTATACAAACGTGCATGTAAGAGACACATCGAGCTGGGCTGGGGATTTAGCTCAGCAGCACAGCGCCTGCCCAGCAAGCGCAAGGTTGTGAGTTCAATCCCCGGTACTGGAAAACAACAACAACAACAAAAAAGAGATACATCGAGCTTGTTTAAGCCAATTTTTTTCATTTTTTTTTTTTTTTTTCTGAGACAAGGCTTCCCCCTATGTACTCCAGACTAGTCCAGAACTCATAATCCTCCTGCCTTAGCCTCCAAAGTGCTGGGAGTACAGGTGAATACCACATCTGGCTTCTTCCTATTCTTTCAAGTATGTAACAAAAACTTTATAACATATTTTTAAGAGCAACGTCAATAGTGAGACCTATCAAATTCTCTAGTTGCAGAGGCAAAAAAGTTCTCTGAAATATAAAGCAGAACATGGATAATAAAGTCGTTAGATTCTTGCTGTTTGGAAGGGGTGTTGCTATTGAGTTAACTATTATTCAATCTCCTGACCAAGTAAATGCTTAGAATTATCCAACTGGAGGCAGAAGAACAGATCTGAAGCCCATTTGGATGAAGTCTGGTTAATGAGTGTCTGGGGCTGGGAGGAAGGGGCTGTACGGCTGAGCGTAGAGCACTGCTCAGCAGGACAGGGGCCTGGCTCCAGCCCAGCACCAACACAGATGAAGTCAACAGCAGGAACGCCTGAAGGAGGCCACAATCACCACCATGCTTCAAGTTCCAACCCCTTCACAGCAACTCCCATTAATACAGCACTGCACGGGAATACATACATAAAACAGCAAAAGCACAGGACACTAATAATCTCAGGTACTTCTGAATATCATTCTAGACTCAAAATTAAATGACAGTAAATGTCATGAGATTTATCATACTTTGTTTTGTGATTGCTTTTGTTTGTTTTTATGATACGGACTCACAATGTAGCCAGGCAGGCCTCAAACTCAAGATCTTTCTGACTCAGCCTCCAGAACAGCTGAAATTATAGACACATGCCACCATACCTGACCAGGAAAATCTCCTTCTAAAGCTTGATCTAAACATATGGAAATCATTCTCATGGAAAAACAACCTGGCGAAATATACCTTATCTCCATCCATAAACCTTTGTTTTTCTGTAATGTTTAGTATTTCCACAGGCACATCAAGTTCCGATCTTGATTCGTAAGATATGCTTCCATCGTCATTGCTCACAACCCGTCCCTTGCGGCCAGTCATCTGAAAAGCCAAGCAGCATCATGACAACTCTGGGATCACCCCCCTCACTGAGGAAATCCTGGTGCTGGCTCCAGGTCTCAGGGACACAACACACTGCAACACAGTCCCTGGGAAGGGCTGCCAGGCGGCACCATCCCATGAGATGCACTACAAGGGGAGGCAATGAAGACCAATGGCTCAGCACACTCAGACAGTGGGGATAAGACTTTAACAACTCTAGAGGAGTAACTACTGTGAAACTGCTGTTCTAAGATCTACAAAGGAAAACCAAACAGGTTATTGTGATAACACCCAAAATATCACTCATACCACAGGGTTTGACTGCCATTCATTTTACAGGATTTTAAAGGGGCAAAAAATTACCAAAAAGAGACACAGCCTCCATCAAGTAAGGTTTACCTCAGCAACGTTCTCAGGGCCACCCAACTCGTCAATAAGTTCATCCAGGGTATTAGGAGGCAGGTCTTCAGCTAACTTTTCTAGTTTCTCAAGTAGGTCTTTCTTCATCTGCTGGGCCCTCTCCACAGCATCCTGACTTGTTACAAGGCTGCTATTACTGCTGGAGTTACTGTTAGCTAGGGAAATAATATTCATGCAAAGTCACTGCACAGAGTATCTGTTTTATGTAAAAGCATATTTCACAGAAAAAGCAAGTTTCTACATGGATACCTGGCGCACTGTTGGGAGCAGGTGAAATAATGGGTGCAGATGAAAAACTAGGTCGTTTTGATCCGAGACCTGATGCTAATAAGGCACTTTGAATAGAATCTGGATCTATACTTTTCTTCTTTTTTTTATCTTTGTTTTTCTTGTGGTCTTTTCTGATTAACCAAGGATCTGAAAGATAAGGAAAATGTCAAATTATTGGTTAAAATAGGCCGGGACTATAGCTCAGTGGCACAGCACCTGCCTGGCAAGCGTGAGGTCCTGAGTTCGATTCCCAGTAACCAAAAAAAAATAAAAAAGAAAAAGTGTGTATCTTCAAAGGACTTAATCCTTGAGTTTTGGCTGGGGATATAGCTCAGAGGTATAAGCACCTGCCTGGCAAGCACAAGGTCCAGAGTTCAATCCCCGGTACTGTAAAAAAACAAAAACAAAAAAACAAAAAAAATCCTTGAGTTTTGTGATGGTGGTACTAGGTATGGAACACAGGGCCTCCAAATGCTCTGCGACTGAGCCACATCCTTACCGATTGTTTTATTTTGAGACAGGGTCTCACTAAGTCAGCCAGGCTGGCCTAGAACTTGTGATCCTTCTTCCTCACCCTCCCAAGCAGCCGAAATCAGAGGTGTTCACTACTCTTTGAGGCTCAATATTGAGGTTTTTTGGTACTATTAACTGACTACTTAGAAATCATTACTAAGTATAGTAGCCCAATATAGCCCATCCACACACTATCGGGTATCACTCCACATTTTGACATGAAAAATAACTATGAGGGGGAGGGAGTACACAAACAATTAAAATGCTATATGCCTGTGGCAATTCCTCATGATGAGTGCCGTCATTACGCACTGGAAACAGGGACTAACAAAAACAAGTAACTGCATGAAACTGAGATCAGAATTTCACTTGTGAGACCCACAGACAGAGTATTTCAGGGCTCTCCACTGGACAAAGGTTCGAATCTGCATGATCTTTTGTGCCGCATGGAAAGGAGGCTCGGATGCAACATGCCCTTCCCAGTACCCTGCAGCAAGACTGGCCAGGATTCACTTCCAAGAATGAACTCACCGTCTTCATCGTCCTCACTAGACTCGTCTCTAAAGGGGTTGAAATCATCATCATCACCAGAGCTCATGTTTTTCGAGCTCTCATAGTCACTTTCTTCACCATCAGAGGCATCAGACTCACTTCCACTGTCATCAGAACTGCTACCCATGAGGCCACCGACTTTGCGTGCTTTTTTAGCTTCTCGAGTTATTTCTTCACCTAATAAGAGACCCAAATAAGAGAATTAGCTGAAATACAATGTTTCTAAAGCTCCGGGGTATCACATTTATTTAAAAAATGATCCAAATGAGAAGTGCAGAGAGAAAGGATGTAAAACCAAACCTTAAGCAAGCACTCTTTAGAATCCCAAAGAAGTCAGGCTCTGTTCAGTGACTCTCAAGAAATCAGACACGCAAGTACAAACTTAAAACTCAGTACACCCTTGAAGTCCACAGATTGCACAACTGATTCAGAACAGTCAAAACAGAGCCCTGGCAGCCACCATTAAATCACAAATGAGGCTGTAAGAGGAGTGTGAGTAACTAGATTCATAGGAAGGCAACACGGACAGCAAGCAACTCATGAAACCTTTTTCTTTCTCAAGTGCCAGGGATTTAACCCAGAGCGCCACACATGCTAGGCACTCTACCACTGAGTTACCTTTCACTGGACTTAAAACCTCAACCTTTAAAGGTGCACAAGGTGCTGGTTTTAATTGCGTTATTTAATATTCAGAAAAAAGATCGGAAAATAACCAAAACTAAGAACATTAGAAGGTTCTAGTATTAATGAGATGGTGAGAATGTAATTCAGGAAGGTAAAATATAAATAGTCATCCTAAGATACCACTGATTATAAGACAGCATTACTTTTGGGGGGGTGTTTACCAGGAATTGAACCTTGTGTTTGCCAAGTAGGCACTGTGCCTCTGAGCTATATCCCCAATCCCTTTTTCATCTTTCTGAGGCAGGGTCTCACTATGCAGTTCAGGCTAGCCTCGAACTCAAAGTGATCCTCTTGCCTCAACCTCCCGCGGGCTGGAATTACAGGTGTGAACCACCACACCTGGCTTGTGCCACTAAAATTTTTTAAAAATTTCCCATTGAACTACAATAGTCACTGGGTGTGCTGGTATTCACCAGAAATCCCAGCATCCCACCACTCAGGAGGGCTGAGGAATGAAGATCACCTTGAGTTTCAGACCAACCTGGGCTACACAGTGAGCTCAACACCAGTCGAAACTACATGTTGAGACCCTGCCCAAGAAAAAAACCACACCAAAATGGAACTGTAAAAGCCAACTCACTTTTAGGTATCATAAACATGCAGAAAGGCCAGGTGTGGTGGCCTACACCTGTAATCCCAGCACTTGGGAGGCTGAGGCAGGAGGATCGTTGTGAGTTCGAGACCAGCCTGGGTTACAAAGTGAGCTCAGGGCCAGCCTGAACGGCACAGTGAGACCCTGTCTCAAAAACACCAAAAAAAAAAAAAAAAAAAAAAATGTGGGCAAATGTAACTAAAATGGATGAAATAAAGCTAAAGTGTCAGACATGTAGAATACACATCATCACAGGTCTTATTTATCAATTTATTTTGTGCAATGCTGGGCACCGAATCCAGGGCCTTGAAAACAGTAAGACAAGACAGTTAATTATGTTAGTTATACCATTTTAGAGAAAGACTGGTTGCAAAGTTAACCTGTGACAACAAACAGCAAACTCAAGCGAGCATTACAAAGTGTCTAACAAACACAGGGAGTATTAGGAAATTAGGAAGCTAACGCAAGCCTCTTTACAGTCCCCCCCACCCAGTTCTCAATTTCTTAAAAACCAGCTTTGACAAAGAGAGAACCCTATTTTAGTTGCTGTGCATCACTCATTATTTATGTGAATCTGGAAACTTTTCTTAACCTCTTAATCTTTCTGTGCTTCAATTTCCTGCCTATAAAACTGGAAAAATAAGACCAAGTTTCCTAAGAAACTCTGATGGGTTAAATAATAAACATATAAGTAAAAACTACAGTGCCTAGCACCAGTCAACTGCTCATGTTCTAATTTATTTTTCTTTTCTTTTTTTTTTTTTTCTTTTGCTTGTTTTTGTTTTTGCCTTTTTGAGACAGGGTCTCGCTAGGCAGTTCAGGCTGGCCTTGAGCTCACTTTGTAGCCCAGGCTGGTCTCAAACTCACAACGATCCTCCTGCTTCAGCCTCCCGAGTGCTGGGATTACAGGCGTGTGCCACCACGCCAGGCTATTCATGTTCTAATTTAAAACAGAGAGTTACTTGTGCATTCAAAAGTACAAGAGCAACACTGACAATGTACAAGGACTTGCCAGTTTGCAGAAAGCAGTTCATTCCCCAAATCCTGCTGCTTCAAAGCACTCACATCCACAGTGAGCATCAGATCTCTCACACCTCTCACATTCACAGCTGCAACAGCAACTTCGTGAACTTACCTTTCCGTTTCTTCATTTTGTTTTCTTTACAAGGGCTATCTCTGGGTGAGCTGTTGTTACTCGGAGCTGTCAGGTCGATTCCCAGCAAACTATACAGTTTTTTCCTGTCTGGAGCAGGGAAGTGTTTTTCAATGAGTGACTGCAACACTCCTCTGTAGGAGAGGGACAGTGACAATTACTGCTTCACCTGACAAAATCACGTACTATGGTATATGAATGTATTGAATATATTGCTTTAAAAATATACATACTTAAAAAACAAATAAAAATAAAAATATATATATTTGTTCGATCTTGGGAAGTACTGATAACTCAAATGCATTTTAATTTTCATGGAAAACTTATCTAGCTGGAAAAAAATGCAAGAGAAGCCACACATGGAATTTTTACATTTAAAAAAAAATTTTTTTTGTTTTTACATTTTCTAAGTAGCTATGTTAAAAAGTAATAGAAGGCCAACAATGGTGGTGCACACGTATAATCCCAGCACTCAGGAGGCTGAGGGAAGAGAAGCACCACAAGTTCAAGGCCAATCTGGGCTACAGAGTGAATTCAAGGCCAGCCTGCACTGCACAGTGAGACCCTGCTGAAAAAACAAACAGAAACATGTAATAGACAGTGAGGGATATCAGCACACGTCGGTAGTCCCAACTAAGCTACTTGGGAGGCTGAGGCAGGAGGATCACTTGAGCCAGTGTTTAAACATGAGCAACAGCCAAAACTATCCCTTGTTATTAAAAAAGGAAAATAAAGCCCCCGACCCCCGAGACCCACAATAAAGTCACTATTTAAAAAAAAAGACGGAGAAGAAAATTGGTGAAACTACAGTAACTTTTCTTTTCCAGACAAAGTCTGGCTATGTAGTCCAGGCTGGCCTCAAACTACCCTAATCAGGTATGGTGATGCACACACGTCATCCCAGCACTTGGGAGGCTAAGGCAGGAAGGCCCCCATGAGTAGGCCAGCCTGGGCTATATAGCAAGACCCTGTCTCAAGGAACCTAAACAAAACAAAAATAAAAGTAATTTTCAACTATATCTACCGTCAAAGCAGCACTTCAAAGTATTCTCAAAGGGAAGAGATCTATGAACTAGGTTACTAATTTCACTATCAGAGATAAGATTTTTTAACAACTTTTGAAGATCACTTGCCTAATTTTACAGGAGATTTTATGGTATCAGGGCAAACCAAATAGTGCTCTTCTGGAAAACAATGGTAATTACACATATAGAAAACTGAACATCAAACTAAACCACCCTGCACAGATTTCCAAGATGTTTAAACAAAGAACGAAGTACTTCTGTTAATCCAATTCTGTTATTATACTGTAATAAACATTGACAAAACATGTAACATATTTCAGGATTATGACATTTCTATGTTACTGTTTTGTTTTGAGACAGGGTCTCACTATGTAGTGCAGGTTGGCCGTGAACTCCCTATGTAGCCCAGGCGGTAATCCTGAGTGCTGGGATTACAGGTTTACACCACTACGCCTGGCTATGTTACTATTTTCTAATGGCGATAACATAATATAGAAAGGTACTGCGTGGCACAAAAAATTCAAAGGAAAACTTTTAAAGATGATACACAGATGACCACAACTGTGCCAAGAAATGCCAGCACCTCAACTAATCTAAGTAAAAACTCAAAAGTAAAATAAAAACATTACTTGGCAGTTGAAACGAAGTCATTCAATTCTCCTCCACCCTCTTCCAAGGCTTCTAATGTTCTAGCTTCTCCTGTAGATTGTAGACCAATCACAACACACTGGAAAAAAGAAAGTAAGGTGGTTATAAACATAAATATACTTGTTAGCCAATTTTTTTAACTCTTTTTTGTCTTTTTGAGTCAGAGTCTCATTATGCAGTTCAGGCTGGCCTTAAGCTCACTTCGTAGCCCAGGCTGGTCTCCAACTCCCAACGATCCTCCTGCCTCAGCCTTCCGAGTGCTGGGATTACAGGCATGCACCACCACACCTGGTAGGCATTGCTTTTATAATTTTTTTGTTGTTGTTTTTTGGTTTTTTCTTGTTTTTTTTTCTGGTATCAGGAATCGAACTCACAACCTTGTGCTTGCCAGGGCAGGTGCTGTGCCACTGAGCTAAATCCCCAGCCCCTGCTTTTTTAATTTTTAAAAATATACTTTTAAATCATACTACATTAACCTTTTTGTAACTATCCTTTAAAAAGACTTAACTTCGTATGAGTAAAACCTAACATGCACAAAAACAACACAACCAGAAAGAATCAATCTCTGAATGTGTTCTGTAACTTACTTTTCCATTCTTGATTTCCTCCCGGGCTAGCTGCACAACCCTCTTAACTTTGGATGCTATGCACAGGTACTTGAAAAACCTCTGGTGCGCAGACCAGAACTGACCCCACATGGACTTCTTCATCCGCTGTTCAGCATCAATCAGATCTGCGGCCTGCTGAAACCGCTCTCTGGCGATGACCCACTAGAGGCAAAGTCAACAGTTTACATTTCATCTCTGAATGAAGTGATTTAAAAATGATCTTCAATAAAAATAGTATTTAGTAACTTGAAGAGCTTTAAACAATTGCTTATACAATGCCCACAGAGCTGTCTTAAAATTTTTTACTACCTACAGCACCTTTTTAGAAGACACAGTTATGCACAATGTTATTTTGAGAACTACATCACTCAAGTAAATGGCTATTTTTTTGATGGATCATTTTAACCAAGTGAAAATTGGAAATTTTGAAAATAAAGATTTCATGTGGTAATTTCCCTGTCATTTCATAGCAGAAATGCATTCCAATAAGCTGACAGACATTACAATGGACAAAACAAATAAACATTATTAGGACATTAAAAACATGAGGAATTAAACACTTCTCACCAGCTTGACTGCTTTGTTATACATTTTAACATAGTTCTGCGAAAGAAGAACTTCCTCAATTTTGAAGGTCACTCCAGTAAAACTCAGCTGTCGGGCTATATACATTCCTCTAAGCTTCATATCCATAGCAACTATTTCCATGGCACCAACACCTCTGAAAAAATTAAAACGCGAAGTAACTATCAGGACGTAAACTGGAGGGGCTGGGGATGTAGCCTGCAGCGCCTGCCTGGCCAGTGCTGAGGTCCTGAGTTTGATTCCCGCGAACAACTCCCACCCCAAAAGGGCTTTAATCTACAGTGAAGCGTTTAGCAGTAATGCATCTTTCCACGTGCTAAAGAACATGGCGTGCACCGCAGGGGGCATTACCTGCGCTCCACAGCTTGAATGAAATCACTGAATTCTCTGAATGGAGTCCCCTCACCCCAGATTCCAAGGCGGTTCATATAGGCCATGTTGCGTGGTTCCGAAGCACCTGGAAAATCCCCAAACATATTACAGCTGCAAAGAGCATTTACACCACTTTTTAAATACAATAACACTCACCAGTGGCACTGGCATACACAACTCTGGCTTTCGGCAGTTTGTTCTGAAGCTCCAGAACCGCTAAGCCTGTCTTGGTGGGTTTGGAAGAACCGACAGGACATAAGTTCTTTGCTTTATGACATTCATCGAACACTATCTGTAAGGAATGAGCTAAGGAACATACCTTAGTAGTAAATGTCTACTGATTATTAGGAAGAGTTAACTTTTAGCTTCCTGAAGCTTCAGGTGTCTTTTTCTTTACACAAAGAAGCCTTCCACCAGATGCTTCTCCCACACAGCTGCTCCCCTACCCCAGCCTCACAGGCATACAGTGACTGGTACCAGGCATCTAATTTCTAACTAGAGTGCAGGAGAAGATTCTTTGCAGCAAAAACTGACCACCACAGATTATAAAACGTATTAGTAGAAGCTGTGACTGGGAACCAATTTAACCAGCATTTCATAACATGGTATGTCTCACACAGGATAATATATGATAAACTGTGAGCAATACATTTCAAAATCACAAAATCAACGATGTTCTTTTCTTTTTTTTTCTTTTTGAGACAGGGTCTTCCTATGCAGTTCAGGCTGGCCTCGAACTCGCAACGATCCTCTTGCCTCAGCCTCCCCAGTGCTGGGATTATAGGCATGTGCCACCACGCCCGGCAACAACGTTCCTTTCACTTGGGTTCTTGGGAACCCTGCCATTCATGGGACCGCCTATCTGAGTGACCTCACTCAGCAGCCCTCTCACCTACTCCTCTTTTCCTAAACCGGTCTCCTGTCGGACAGAAACTGAATCAACTTTCCAGCCCCCTGGGAATCTGATCATTGAAACTCTCCTCCCAACAATCTGTTCATGTAATCTTGGAATTCTCCTTTGCCCACAGTCTGTCCTTTTATACTTTTATGCCACTAAAAAAAAGAAACAACGTAGTCATAAAGGATACCACTCCATCGAAGTCGTCACCGCACCAGTGCAGAAGTTGTTTTAACCTAGTTTTATATTTACCACCGGACTGGCTTTCACCAATAAGGGAGGAATATGTAGCAAAAATAACACCCTTTTTCACACTCCCATTATGTTTGGAAGAAATCTTTCCATATTTAAACTAAAAACAGAAGAGAAAACACTTCAATTAGTCTTGGAAACATTTATCTGACCCGAAAGTTTTACAGCAGGACCTCTTAACTGGACAGGATGATGACAGGCTGAAAAAGTCAAAACGCCACAGAAGTTCTTGTATACAAACACACATATATTATGGTATAAGGATCTAGTTTTCAAAGTCTCAAGAAAGTCCATCACCAAAAAAAATAAATAAAATCAAACTCCCCTTTAGGAAGAAATCACAGTATTTACCCCACAAGTATTTACTATCTATTTTACTATAGCAAAGCACTGATTAAATTCTGAAAGAATATTAGTTAATGTATCCCCCCCCCTTTGATTACACTGCTCAGAAATAAATATTTACAGGTCTTACCTGCATGGTTTCAGTTTTAAACTGGTCATACATGATCATTCATGTATATATAATAACAATTTTAAGCTATCAATCCACTCAGACAATGAACCAACTCAGAATTCACATGGAAAGTAGATTTGCATTTATTTATCTTCCAGGAACTAGGAAGGGCTAGCAGGAAGGATTTTATAGGAACTGTGTTTGTTTTACCTTTATAACCAATACAGTGTGTCAATAAAGATTTACTAAATGAACGACAAGATTTTAATGACAGGGCTGGGGATGTGGCTCAGTGATAGAGTTCTTGCACTGTATGTATAAAGCCCTGGATTCAATCCCCAGAACCACCAAAAAAAAAAAAAAAGACTCTAATCACATTAGGCTGTTTTAGGCACAAAATACCCATTTTCTTCTTATGAACTGTTCTGCATGAACACAGGTACATGCACTCAAGTCCATGAGGCAGGTGAACACTGAAACCCATCTCTAATCCACAAGGTCCTGATGTGCTGCACAGGATGTGGTGCCCTGCAGGGACAGGCACAGCCCCTTCCCACAATGCACCAGAACAGCTGTGTAGAAGTACTTGAGGGGGCTGGGAATTTAGCTCAGCAGCACAGCGCCTGCCTGGCAAGCGCAAGATCGTGAGTTCGATTCCCGGTACCGGAAAAGAAACAAACAAAAAAAAAGGACTTGAGAGGGCCAGGGATGTAGCTCAGTGGCACAGCACCTATCTGGCAAGTACAAGGTCCTGAGTTTGATTTCCGGTAACAAAAAAAAAGTACTTGACTAACTAAAGACTGAGGGAACAAATTCCATGGCAGCAGGAACAATGCCTACTTTGCTTGCTACTATACAACCACTGTGTGGCATGGTACTTGGCACATAGTAATACACGGACCAACAGAAGCGGCAGCACTTCCCACACTTCCTTTGGAATAACACATTTAATCCTCGTAACACCCTACAAAGTAGAAACCATTACTCCCACCTCAGAGTGAGTTCAATATTTACTGAATAACCAAGTAAATAGGAAGTTTTCATACCTTATTTAATGAGTGGACCAAAATGTTTTTTGCTCCAATGTCCCTCAAGTCTCTTTCAGCATCATACTTTAAGTCATTTGAAACACTGAACCTGTCATACAAAGAAAAGAACAAACTAAATCCAAACTACATGCCAGGCATGGTGGCACACACCTGTAATCCCAGCACTGGGGAGGCTGAGGCAGGAGGATCACTGCAAGTTCAAGACCTGATTGGGTTACAAAATGAGCTCAAGGCCAGCCTGAACTGCATAGCAAGACCCTGTCTCAAAAAGACAGGGGAAAAAATAAATTACATTACTCTAGTAGAATTCAGGAACGACACCAGGTCTTGACACAAAAAAACCCAGTCGATTAAACCCATTCCCAAGTGTCAAATTGTTCACAAATTAAGCCTTCCCCAGCCAGTTCCCAACACTTACCACAACGCTCTCTTTCTACTCAACAAATAATTTTCATAGATGATTCCCGCTATTGTCCTGCCTTTCCCTACACCAGCACCATCACCTATTAAGAAGCCAGCACGATCGCCATTAGGTAGGAATGTTTCATGTTGCTGAAAAAGAGAAGACAGGTAACTAATCTTTCATAATTTTGATTTATCTTTCATACATAGTTTCACGAATATACCTCACATTTTCATATATAAATGCCATATGGTCCAGTCGCTAGTTAATGTGGATACTTCCTGTAGGTTTACTATGTATTCTTTCCGGCTACCCTCCCTGCACCGAGAAATTTTTATTTGTTTGAAGCAGGGTCTCGCAATGCAGTTCAGACTCATCTTGAACTCACTATGCAGCCCAGGCTGGCCTTGAACTCAAGAGCGATCCTCTTGTTGCGAATTTGAAGAATTCATGAACTGGTGAGAAGCCCTCCATACTCCTTTCAACACCTGCCTAATCAAATACTAACCTATATATCATGCATAACTATGGGAGATAATAGGTTATTTGAGTCATTACTTATTTTACAGAAATGGAGCATGAGCTGGGTATGGCAGCACACACCTATAATCCCAGCACTTGGGAGGCTGAAGCAGGAGGATTGTTGCAATATCTCTTGTGTCTCATTTATTTCACTTAGCATTATGCTTTTGAGATTTATCCCTACAAATGACTCAACTTTATTCTTCTTTATGGCTGACTACTACTCATATATATATATATATTTGTGTGTGTGTGTGTATATGTATGCATGTGTGTGTATATGTATGTGTGTGTACATATATATATACACACACACACGCATACACACACACTCTATTTTCTTTATCCATTCAGTTGTTGATGGATATACAGACTTTCATAATTTAGGTATTGTGAACATAGGTAGTCCAGTTATCACTGTTTTTAAAAATTTTATATATATATCCAATACAACAATGCTACAGCATTCGTCATTTCCACTGGAAATATACTCTTATCTCTCATATACTGTCTCATTTTGTAACACATAGAACTTCTATGAAACATTACATTTAGGAGTTTTCCATAGAAAGAAATTTCTCCTTTGAATTAAAACTACATTGTATGGGCCAACATAAACTGATGATTTTTTTTTTTTTTTTTTTTTTGGTTTTTCTCCGGTACCAGGAACCGAACTCACGACCTTGCGCTTGCCAGGCAGGCACTTTGCCGCTAAACTAAATCCCCAGCCCCAAACTGATGATTATTGTACATAATTATGCACACTGCTTACCTGGGCCGCATAAGTAACTGCCTCAAGCTGTAACGCTGATAACCAGCCACTGTCAATGGTTTCTTCAGAGATGGAAGTTTTGTACCAAACATCAGGAGGAGTGACACTGGACAAAGAGCTGGTTTCCACGACAGCATCCGGATGACGCAGCCCAATTTTTACTAAATGAAAAATTTAAAAATACTTCATTTATTTCATTCTACTAACATTTCCAATTTAATTAAAAGACACTGCAAGATTTTTCCTATGACATGGAAAACACCTGAGGAACTCTTCACTCTTCACTCATGAAGAGCCTCCATGAAGTTATATGGCCCTGAGGATGTAACTCTGCAAAAGAACACTTGCCTTCCATTTGCAAAGCTCTGGGTTCAATCCCCAGCATCACAAAAAACATATGTGACTGAAGTACTCCTTAAATTTGACTAAAATGATTTTAACAACTACATACAGCTTACAAGAAGACTTGCTGATAAAAACTTCTAGTTTTAAAATCACGGACCTGGCCGAGCATCTTGGGAGGATCCCAAGAGCCTACAAGTTGGAGCCCTGCCTGGAAAACAAAGAGACCTCTTTCAAAACAAGAGTAATAAATAAAAATACTAAGCTCATACACAAGCTTTTCCAGAATAACCCACTGTCCCAGACTAGAGAGGTTTTTATTTACTTTTTTTTGTTGGTGCTGTTCTTTTTGAAACAGGGTCTCGCTGTGCAGTTCAGGACAGCCGTGAGCTCACTTTGTAGCCCAGGCTGGTCTTGAACTCCCAACGATCCTCCTGCCTCAGCCTCCCGAGTGCTGGGATTACAGGCATGTGCCACCATGCCCGACCAAGAAGTTTTATTTAAATGAGTCATTCATTTCATTCTGCCAAAGTTCACAATATATTTTCACTTTGAAAGAAAACAGCAGCAATAACAAATGGGAACTAACTCCCCAAAATGTACATTGTGAATAATTTTAAATAATGGTTGGCAAACATTTTCTATAAAAGGCGAAGCAGTAAGTGTTTTCAACTTTGTAGGCATCCAGTCTATTTCACAACGACTGAGCACTGTGATTACAGTATAAGGACAATCACGGACAATGATTAAACTGATGAGCATGCCTATGTTCCAATACAACTTTATTTGCTAAGATGGGCAGTACATCTAGACCCTGTGTGCTGACCTCTCTCTGGTTTAAAGGGTCAGAGACAAACTCAACCCTCTACTCCCAGTAAAAAATTACTGCGACGGGAAAAAACCAGCACTTCGGATACTACAATCTGAAACTTTTTTTAAGCAGTAGGAGAGCTTCAACTTATGGAACCAAGCTATATCCCTATCCCCTTTAATTTTTTCTTATTTTGAGACAGCTCTCCCTAAAGGTCTTGCCCAGGCTGACCTGAAACTTCCAATCCCCCTGCCCCCGCCTCCAGAGTAACTAGAACTACAAGTATATGCCCTCATTCTGGCTTTAAAACTTTTTTTTTGGGGGGGGGGAACAGTTCAGACTGGCCTTCAACTATGTAGCTCAGGTTGGCCTTGAAATCCTCCTGTCACAGCCTCCCAAGTGCTGAGATCATAGGCATGTTATCACTATGCCAGGTTTAAAGTATACATTTTTATATCTACAATTTACTTAAAATAATCTTATTACCATTATCTATATAAGCAAATTAACTTGAAACAAAATAAAAATCCTTTTTAGTCTTTGTTTCAAAGACTTCAATCTAAATGTTCTAAACCTGTACAGAAAAAAAAAATTTCCATGTATTTTAAAAACATTAGAGCTTAAAACAGATGACAAAAGTTCCACTTATCAACTGGTGGGGCACACAGGGCTGGTATGTCCCATCAGGTAAGTGTCTAAGGGAGAGTTACTTAAGTTCAAGAGGAAACCAGAATTTTTTTTTTTTTTTGGACAAGTGTCTACAACATACATTTTATTGGCATATACTCTGCATAGGTTTCAGCATGGCCCATTTCTTCTTCATCTTCTTCCTCGGGCTCATCTTCATCTTTTACAACAGGAACCTTCTGTGACAACAGAGAAAGTACCATGAGCCCCATGCCCAAGGCTGGCGGCCCAGCCAGCACAGAGGAAGCTCTTGCGCTGGAACACTGTACCCGCCGACACTGGACTCAGGAGGCACCACCTGTGTGTTCTCTCAACACTGGGTCTTACTTCGAGGCTTCCTCACTTCTCCAATGGCAACCTACTCTGTCCCTTACACACGAATGTCGCCAAGAGCTGCCATCCCCCTGCACCAGGATCTCCCCTTCAGCACAGCTCCCTGTCGCCAGCATCTCACGTGCAGCCCGAGCTCCTACAGCAAGGCCTCACTCCGGCTCACACACCGCCCTCTCTTCGGTTCACCTCCCCCTGCCTGCTTTCTCTCAGACCCTGCAAGCAAGCCCAGGAGCAGAGCTCAAAGCTCTTACAGAGCAGAGATTCACTTCACACTCCCGAGTCTCCACACAGCAAATAAACGGAAACAGCCACAGGATTTCCCCTCAGTCTCAGCACTGGCAAGTGGAGAATGGAGCACTGGCAATAATCTCGCCAAGGCGACAGAGATAACGCAGACTGTGAGTGGCAAGCCCAGTGAGTGGGTGCTGCACTCGCGCATTTCCATCTTTCTCCATGGACCCTTACCGCTGTTGGAGCGGGAGGAATAGGAGAACAAGGAGACCTTCATCACCATGCCTTTGTCATGCCCAAGAAAGCCATCAAGAGGCTTCTGGTTCAAAGGATGGGATGGAGAATCTGCTGTGAAACCAGGCAGATGGAGGCAGGGAGGAGGAGGAGAAGACACAGTCCGAGCCTCCAGGCCAGACCCCTTCTCTGGGGTTTACCACGCCCAGAGCAGAACGTGCTGGCACAAAGGCACCGGGCACATAGGGAAGCCAGGAGACAGGGAGCACCCCAGCAACCTTAGCCACGAGTCCTCAGGTGAAACCCCAACTCCACAGTTGCAAAATGAAACCTATCATTTGACACTGGACACAAAATGGGACCAGCCAAGAAAATAGATCTGACACCATATGCTCTATTTCATTCTGTATCCTTGGGGCAAATTATCTAAATTCTGAGTCCTAGTCACTCTCACCTCAACTATAACACACAAATAAGGTTGATGCTACAATTGTAAAACCTCCTTGATTCTCCCTTTACTTTCTCTACCTAAATTTTTTTAGGACAGGTTCTTGTTAAACTGCCCAGGTTGGCCTCAAAATACATCTGCCCGGGCCTCCAATTTTGTGTGTGTGCGCAACAGTGGGGTTGAACTCAGGGACAGAGAGAGCCAGCACCCGGGACACGACACAGCTGATGAGTTTTACCAGCTGAGGAACGAGGGGCCAGGCTGTCAGGCCCTCCTAGTTTTCAACGGAACCTGGAAATTAGCACTTCTTGGGCCCACGAAGTATTCAAAATCCCTCCCAACACTGCAGGGCCAAGGAGAATGCATCTGTTTACATGATGCTGCACAGACTAGCACTGGGCAATCCACTGGACTATGCTTCTGACAGGCTGCTCTGCCACGTTATGGGGGAAGTGTTTATGGAGTGGGATGGGAACAAAAGCATTACATCAGACATTTCTTCAAGAAAAGTACATGGCTAAGAAAACCAACTTCCAAGTGCTGCTGCTGCACAACCACTAAGTGAACTGGACACTGCCTGTATTCGCTCTTCTGGTGCCCACTCAAACCTCAGGAGCACGTCACCAGGCCTCCTCCAAGTTCACGTTCCAAGTCCAAGTCATCATAGTCCTTTGGTATTGTACAGACAGCTATCCCTTTCCTTTTTTCATTTTCCCTCACCCTTTTCAAGTGCCATAGTATGGCAGGGTGCGTTGACGCACGCCTGTCATCCCAACACACTGGCAGACTGAGGCCAGAAGGGTCACAAGTCTGAGCTCAGCCTGGGAAACTTACTAAGGCCCTGGAGAATGGGGATGAAGGCCAGGCCGGCCTTGAACCCACTATATAAGCCTGGCTGGCCTCGAAGTTGTGTTCCCCTTGCCTCAGCCTCCCAGGTGCTAGGATTACAGGCATGCATGCACATCCACAATTTAAGGAAAAAAAAATATATAACTGGGTTATTATCTGATCTGACAGGTCTTAACTAGCTACACATACTCAGGTTCACTCCTGAAATAAATATAGTTGTCAAATTTTTTTTCCTTCTTTTTTTGAGACAGGGTCTTGCTATGTAATGAAAGTTGGCCTCAAACTTATGGCTATCCTCCTGCCTCAGCTTCCCAAGTTGCTGGGATTACATGTGCCACAACACCCAGCAAAGATTTCTAGCTGGCCCTACACTGTATTTTCTCCCGATCATGTAAGATTCTTAATAAAAAGATCGGTATTACCTATAATACACTTATATACTTTCTATCAAATATGAAGTTTTAATCACCATTTAACACATAATAGTTTATTTCAAGTAGATTTTTTTATTTTAAAGATAAAAGAACAAAAATATTAACAAACACACATACAGTTACAAAGTAACTTAAAAACAATACAAGCAATACTGAATTTCAGACAAGGTGATAGGAAATTAACAATGGTTCTTGTAGCAGTGAGGTTTAAGTTTCCCCGTATGTTCATGTAACAGCAGTCTACCTCCACTTAAAAGTTTGCTGAGGGGTTGGTCTAGAGTACTTTTAAAGTTTTTTTTTTTTTTCTGTTTTTAAAAACAGGGTCTGAGGGGCTGGGGATGTAGCTCAGTGCCACAAGTGCCTGCCTGCCAAACGCAAGGTCCTGAGTTTGATCCCCAGTACCCAAAAAAACAAAAACAAAAACAAACAAACAAAAAAAAACCCCAGGGTCTGACTATGCAGTTCAGACTGGCCTTGAACTCACTATCTAGCCTCAAGCTTGCTTCACCATCCCGAGGGCTGAGATTACAGGCGTGCACAACCACACCTGGCTTTAGTTTTGGTTTTTTGAGACAAGGTGTTGCTATGTAGTGCAGGCTGGCCTTGAACTTGCACCAACCCTTCCTGCCTCAGCCTCTAGAGTGCTGGGATTACAGAAGCGTCCCACCAGACCCACACAAAAATATACAAAATGTGGGACCACGGATATAGCTCAGTGGCACAATCGCCTGCCTGGCAAAAGCAAGGTCCTAAGGTCGATTCCTGGTACCAAATATATAGATAAACACACACACTACACAAAAATATAGACACACATACTTTCGACTCACCATGGTTGGGGAAAAACTTCTCATTTTCATGTCATTTATCCATATCCTTGCTACTTCTTTATTAGAAGACTCTTTCTTCACTGTACCATTGCTTACATCAGCTGAAGAAGAGAAATCAATTAAAAAAATTTTTTTAAAATCTCCATTTCTTTGCCTACTGTTGAAAGATTCAGTGATATTTACCAACTTCACTAATCAAAAGACATCAATCTGCCTGCTATTAAGTTAAGGCTATGCATTTACAGAAAATTAACTCTAGAAAACAACTCAAGGAAAAGCAAACAAAAATTAGTTAGGAGAAAAGCACATTAACCAGACCTACACGATGGTTTAACACAGATACAAAAGCCACCATTACTTTGAGACATTCCACTTGGCTCATTAGGAAAAGAAACAATCCCTGCAGATTTGACGGTACTAATTTTTCAAGGCAAAATAATTATTTGTAGAAGAAAATCAATTTGGGAACATTTCATTTCCTTACTGTCCTCAGAATGAAGATCCAAACAATGAACGCTTTCTTCTTCAGTGATCTTCAAATAGTTCTTTAATACGCACAGAACTTCAGACTCCCAACCACCAACTGAAGTAGCCTCCTTTCAGTTGGGAAGGCGCAGGTGGAGTGAGGACAGAAATGCCCTGGCTCACTCATCAAATACAAAGAGCCAGAAGGGAATCGTTTTCCACCAATGGCTGACCACCTCAGAGCACCCTGGAGCCACTCCAGAGAGTGCCCTGCCCCTTGGCCAGGTCAGAGAAATGTCCTGCACTCCAAGGCAGGAAATGAAAAACAGTTTTGATTTCCCAACTAGCACTTGGCTGCCAGGATGCAGTCAGAACAATGACCCTAATCCCTGATATAAAAGTACAGCCACGAGGGCGCAAACTATGAACTGAACATAAACATCAGATTATCTGAACTTTGTCATTACATCTGTCACTACATAAAAAGTCACTTCTCACTCAGTCCGTTGGGATGCCCCAAGCCCTATAAACAAACTTTACCACTTCCAAGCAATCAATTCTGACGTGGCTTACATGTGTAATCCCAGCACTCTGTGAGGCTGAGGCAGAAGGGCCATAAATTCAAGCCCAGCCTGGACAACTCAGAAATCCTCTCTCAAAAATAAATAATAAACATGTAAGTAGACAAAGAGACAAGGGATGGGGTAACGAAACTGAACGCACTGTGAATTGAACCCAGGGCCTTGCAGGCTATATCCCCACTCCTTTTTTATTTTCTACTTTGAAACAGGGTCTTCCTAAATCATATAGGCTGGGCTTGAGCTTGCAATCCTGTTTGAGCCACCCTGGGTGATTACTCGCTTGACTATCAAAACAGCGAACTGTACACTTTTAAAAGAGTGAATGGACTGGGCATGGTGGCACATGCCTGTATAGTCTCAGCACTCTGGGAAGCTGAGGCAGGAGGACCACAAGTTTAAGCCTAGCCTGAGCAACTCAGTGACTCAGGGAAGCTTTGTCACAAGAATAATAAAAGGAGCTGGGCATAGTGGTGCTCGCCTGTAGTCTTAGCACTCTAGAGGTTGAGGCAGGAGAATAACCACAAGTTTAAGGCCAGCCTGGGCAACATAGTGAGTTCAAAGCCAGCCTAGATTACAGAGCCAAACCCCATCTCAGAAAAAAGACAAACAAAACAAAACAACAAAGCAAAGGGGCAAGAATATCTCTGGAGGGCTTTTTTTGAAATGCAGAAGTTGGGTGGTGATGTAGTTTAATGGTACAGCACTTGCCTCATATATGCAATGCCCTAGGTTCAATCCCCAGCACCGAAAATGAATACATGAATAAATGAATGAATGCAGCCAGGCGTGGTGGCACACGCCTGTAATCACAGCACTCAGAAGGCTGAGGCAGGCAGATCATTTCGAGTTGAAGACCAGCCTGGGCTACAAAGTGCACTCAAGGCTAGCCTCAATTGCACAGCGAGACCCCGTCTCAAAAAGACAAAAAAATAAAAATAAAAAAATAAATGAATGAATGCAGAAGTTTTGGCCTCATCCTGAATCAGATTCTGCTTCTGAGCAAGATTCTGAGGTGATTCATAGGCAGAGAAAGTGTAAAAATAAAAACTTATTTAAAGGATTAAAAAACACAACTTGTTATTCATAATAAATAAAACTGAGATGATCTCATGGCATTAATGTAGCTACTCGGTAATCCCGAACACTTCATTTCAAAGCAAAATGCTCCACCAACGCCTCTGTATCTCTGCTTCCCTTGAACTAGGTACATACTGTAAACACACAGGGCAAGACAGAGAATGCCTCTTTCATGCCCAGATCTTTAAAGACACAAAGAAACCCTCCAAGGACTGTGACACAGTTTATAAAAGACAAAGTTGTTGCTACGAAAACAGAGACTTACTAGCTGCTGTTGCAACTGGCTGAGCAATATTAGCAGGTGGCTTCAGCTTCATGAGTTCATTTAGACTACTACTTTTGAGCAGATCCTTCAGCTGAACCTGGTCTTTTGACGGTGCAGAGGTCACGGTGTTCCGCACTGCTGGTGCTGAGACTGAAGGGCGGGTGTTTGCAGTAGTCTGGATAAATTTTGTTAAAGTGATGGTCTGCCTGTTGGTTGTTACAGGTGGTGTTTTAGTCATTACAATTGTGGATCCCAGGGTTGGAAGCTGATTTATTTGATTTAGCACAAATGTTGTAGTAGATGGAGGCTGCTGCTAGGAGAAAAAAAAAAAATTAAAATACTTTACACATAAAAACTGTTTCCTTTTCCAGTGCAGTCTAACCCCATAAATACGATTTAAAAAGCTAAAATTGGTTTTATTCTTTCCTATTTATTTCTAATTTAATAGGCTGGGTTTTATTCAATTTTTACTTACTTATTTTTTGGTTTTGTTTTGTTTTGTTTTTTCTTCCAGTACCAGGAATCGAACTTATGACCTTGCGCTTGCCAGGCAGGCACTGTGCCGCTGAGCTAAATCCATAGCCTCCTTTACTTATTTATTTTGAGACAGGGTCTTGCTGCTAAATTGCCCAACTGGCCAAGAACTCATAATCCTCCCAGCTCTGGCTCCCAAGCAACTGGGATTACAGGCATGCACTACAATGCTATCTTTAATTCAGTATGACTAGCTATAAACCACCAAGTTAAAACTCCACTTTAACAAAGCAGGAGCTGGGCATGAAGGTGCACACTTGTAACCCCAGCACTCAGGAGGCTGAGGCAGGAGGATTGTTGCAAGTTCGAGACAAGCCTGGGCTACAAAGTGAGCTCAAGGCCAGCCTGAACTGCATAGCGAGACCCTGTCTCAAAAAGACAAAAAGCAAAAAAGGAAAGCAAGAAAAGAGACAAAACGACAGAGAAAGACAGAAAGAAAGAAAGAAAGACAGAAAGAAAGACACACAGACAGACAGACAAGCTGGGCGTGGTGGCACACGCCTGTAATTCCAGCACTTGGGAGGCTGACGCAGGAGGATTGTTGTGAATTCAAGACCAGCCTGGGCTACAAAGTGAGTTCAAGGTCAGCCTGAACTGCATAGCGAGACCCTGCCTCAAAAAGACAAACAAAACAAAAAAAGAAAAGAAAAACAAAGTAGGAGACCAGTATGACATTTTATACAACTATTAAGAACGAAAGTATACATTGAAAGCTATCCCAAGCAAACTGTGATGTACAGTAATCCTAAATAATGCTTAGTAACAGAAAGAATTTCTTTTGTTTGTTTGTTTTTTGAGACAGGATATTATAGTCTAGGCTTATCTCAAACTCATGGTGATCCACTTGCCTCAGCCTGAGTGCTAGGATTACAGGTATGCACCACCATGCTTGTTGAAAGAATTTCTAATGCCAGCACCGCTCCAACAAAACAATCCTGGGCCAATCACTTAAGGAACTGGTGGCCTGGATTCTCTTGAGGGCTATTTTCTGATTTTAATATTCCATGACTCCTAGCTGGGCATGACAGCATAATCCCAGCATTTAGAAGGCCAAGACAGGAGGATCACTGCGAGTTAGAGGCCAGCCTGAGCTACACAGTGAGTTCAAGGCCAGCCTGAACTACACAGTAAAACCCTGTCTAAAAAAAAATTCTACAACTTGTTCAAGGCTTTGTTTGCTATCACACAGTCTACACCAAATTTAGAATTTAAAAAGACAGTAACAGCCAGGTGTGGTGGCACATGCCAGTAATCCCAGAACTTGGGAGATTGAGGCAAGAGGATTGCCGTGAGTTTGAGGCCAACCTGGGCTACACGAGCCAGATCAAGGCCAGCTTATACTACATACCAAGACCCTGTCTCCAAACAAAAAAAAAGACCAAACGACCCAGCCAAACTATAAATATTGATAATGTGGGTGCTATAAACCCACACAACATTTTCTTTTTCATTGCTGGGGAGGCATGGGAAGAAACTGACAACAAAAAATAATATTAACTGTGACTCTAAGTACAACTAAGATACTTTTACAAACTTACGTCTATTTCTTTTTTTTTTTCTTTTGCCTTTTTGAGACAGGGTTTCACTATGCATTTCAGATTGGTGTTGAACTCACTTTGTAGCCCAGGCTGGCCTTGAACTCAGAGTGATCCTCCTGCCTCAGCCTCCTGAGTGCAGGGAATACAGGTGTGTGCCACCATGCCCAGCCCTTAAATCTACTATTACTTACTTTCTTCCTGAAACTGTTTATTTCTCTGTGACTCCCATAATAAGAATCTCCTGGCTTTGGATGTATCACTCTTAAATATCCTTTAGTAACACAAATTATCAAAAAAAAAATCTTTGTGTGTTTTTGTTTTTGTGTGTACGTGTGTGGTGTTTTTTCAGACAGGATCTTGGTATGTAATCCAGACTGGCCTTGAACTCATGGCAATTCTCCTGCCTCAGCCTCCCAAGTACTGATATAACAGGCATGCACCAACATGCCTGGCTCTTAAAATTGACAAATTTTAACTAACAGTTTGTCAAATAATTTTATGCCACTTGGCTTTAGTTAATAGCTGTTTAGCTGGGCGTGGCTGGTGCACACCTGTAATCCCAGTGCTTGGGAGGCTGAGGCAGGAGGATCATTTCAAGTTCGGAGGCCAGCCTGGGCTACAAAGCGAGCTCAAAGTGAGCCTGAACTGTATAGTGAGACTCCATGTCAGACAAAAAAAAAAAAAAAAAAAAAAACACGAGCAGGGCGTGGTGGTGCATGCCTGTAATCCCAGCACTCGTGAGGCCAAGGCAGGAGGATCACTGTGAGTTCGAGGCCAGCCTGGGCTACAAAGTGTGTTTCAGACCAGCCTGAACTGCATAGTGAGACCCTGTCTCAAAAAGAAAATGGAAAAAAAAGCTATGTTTAAGATAAAGTCAGGGGAACCCTATATGAAAAGCTCAATTACAACTACATAAAAAAATTATGCATACCAATGTACAAAACCTGAAAAAAGCGAAAGTGAAAATAGGATAATAGGTACTTCATGTTTATTTCATGAATTTTGTATTATTTGCAATAAACTAAAAAAAGTTATATTGTCCAAATTACCTTCCAGTGGTGCAAGTGGCATAACAATGAAAGAAATCTCAAGGGTAGGACAGTGGAGAGGTAGAAAAGAGCAGACCTAGGAAGATAAAACTATCTCATACTGAAAGGCTATTTTCTTGCTACAATCCTAAACTACTTTAGAAGCAATGCCAAACCTGAGTAATTCTTACCCTCACATTTAACAGCGCAGGACTGGGTACTGTCTCTGGTTCTTGTTTAACAGTAATGGCGGCTTCTGCTTCCAAGCCTAGTTCTAATGCACCAAGTGGCACCGACTAGAGAGAAATCATCAAAGAAACAAACAGCAGTGAATTCTGTTTCCAGAACAAGAGTTGCATTTTTTTTTTTTTTTTAAATTGCCCAGGCGGGGGCTGAGAATTTAGCTCAGTGGCACAGCGCTTGTTTCGCAAGCGCAAGGTCGTGAGTTCGATTCCCAGTACCGGAAAAAACCAAAAATTAAATAAATAAATAAATAAATAAATAAATAATAAAAATTGCCCAGGCGCAGTGGCACACACCTGGAATCTCAGCACTTAGGAGGCTGAGGCAAGAGGATCGCCGTGTATTTAAGGACAGCCTGGGCTACATAGTGATCTCAAGGCCAAGCAGAACTACATAGTGAGACCCTGTCTCAAAAAAAAATCAGGACTAGCGCTGTAGCACAATGGCAGAACATTTCCCTAGCATGGGAAAGGCCCTGAGTTCAAATCCCCAGCACCACAAAAAATAAAATGTCAACTTTACATTCAAACTAAAACATGAAATCATCAGTACCAGATACAGTGGTACCTCAGTTCACAAATGCTTTTCTTTGCAAACAATTTGGTTTGCAAACAGAAGCATTTGGTAAAATTTTGTTTGGTATTTTATTTTGTTTTATTTATTTATTTTGAGGGGCGGGTACCGGGGATTGAACTTAGAATGCTGCACTTGCCGGGCAGGCACTTGTGCCACTGAGCTTTATCCCCAGCCCCTATTTTGTTTTATTTAAACATGGTCTCACTATGTAGTCCAGGCTGGCCTTGAACTCACTATATAGCTCAGGCTGGCACCAAACTCATGGCAATCCTCCTCCCTCAGCCTAAAGAGTGCTGGAATTACAGGTATGCGCCAACACACCCAGGCAAAATTTTATTTCCATTTGCAAACTCCACTGGCTGACGAACATGAAGAGGGTCATCTTTCCCATACAAACATGAACATAGCCCATTTTTCTAGAATCGTGGAACAACTTAAGTTTATGAACCAACGTACCCCTATGTAATCTTTGCAAGCCTAAAATCGCTGCAAAACTATGCTAACATCACAATCTTCCCTTTTAGAGAATATGTACAGTGAAGTGACAGAAAACTACTCTGATAATGTACAAAGACAACTTAAAGGAGAGGATGATCCTCCCACAAAAACTCTCATAAATCAGGTATGTCCAACCTGTGGGCTGCAGTCCACAGGCAGCTCTGGACAGGTACTGAAACGGCCTGACAATACTATCAGCTTTTAATATGAGTATGTGATCTCCTGCGATATTAATGAGCTGCTCATGCGGCACCCGAGCACAGAACACTGGAGGGTGCGCACAGCGTACCACCGGCTCCACCTCCTGTGCCCACCAGAGCCGAATGAAGTCCACGTGTACCGGATGTTTCAAGAGCTTGATTTTTCAAATAAAATATAGTAGTTACAGGTAACAGTATTTCCACCTAGACACACGTGTGTGCCTGAGAAGACAGATGTTTTATTGTTAGACATGTTAAATTTTCTTATTGGATTATTAAACTTGGGCTTGTGTTATTTCATAAAACAACTTAATTTTTTAATAACTGGGCATAGTGGCACATGCCTGTAATTCCAGGATTCTGGGAGGCTGAGAAGGATTGTAAGTTCAAGCCCAGCCTCACCTTGTGCCAAGACAAAAAAAAAAAAAAGGGTTGGGGATATAGCTCAATCCTCAGGAGCTGAAAAATTAAATAAAGAGTAAAGTGAAATGTTTCTCACGTACATCAACTATATCGTGTATCTTATATGCAACCCCAGACAATTCAGACAGCTTCTCTTCCCTCAGTGCAGCCCAGGCAAGCCAGAAGTCAGACACTCGTTCTGTAAACAAGTACTATCTTATGTTTATACACATAATCGTATCAAATTAGAAAACAGTATCTTGGTTTTCATTCCAAATATGTTCTACCTCATGAATGAAGACAAATATTCAACACTAGAATAACATTCACATCTATATTTAAATTTAAGAGGTAATACCTGTTGGTATACATGAAATTAAAAGTTAACAAAAGCCCTGCTGTTTGACAAAAGCTTTAGAAAACTTACCTGCTGAACTGCAGGGGTTGGGGTTGGAGATGCAAGCCCCACATCTCCATCAATATCAAAGAGGTCATTTGGACTAATCCCACTCTCACTCAAAGCAGCAAGCAGTAAGTCTTGCCCTGGTTCCACCATCTTTAAATGAAAGATTAAATATTAACATTAAAAACTTTAAGTGAAAAATATTAACATTCCTCTAAATAAACAATCCAACATTTTCTACAAGACTTATGAAGAACTTGCTACGAGTCAGGAAAGCTCCAGGAAGCTCCACTAAAGTAAAGACAGAAGTATGTAAATCGGGGCTGGAGATTTAGCTCAGCAGCACAGTGCCTGCCTGGCAAGCGCAAGGTCGTGAGTTCGATTCCCAGAACCAGAAAAAGAAAAACAAATATGTAAATCACAGCAGGACACATCTACAAAACCCTAGGTAGATCAGGGAAGGGAAAGTGAACTTTACGGAAGAAGAAAATAAAGACAACAGTGCAACTGCATCTCAAGAAGAGCTCACCAGGACAAGAACCTTCTCAACAGTGTATTTAAGTGCACGCAGCCGTTAAACAACGTGACGCGCTCACAAGGGCTGGACTAACCAATACATACAGCAGTTGACAAGAAAAAGCACCAGGGAGAGGAGGAAGACACCACTCACAAGCCTTGTCCATCATTCTAGATGGAGCGCCTTTAACACTGTGTGTAATACAGTCACTAAAAAGTTTCCAAACGTGGACTCTGGATGACACAGATTTGTGATTTAGAAAGATTCCTCACAGCAGTGTGCCCACAAACTGAGAGGGTCCAGAGGGACCAAAAGAAGAAATCTTGAAAACTGTTACAGCTCTCCAAGAGAAGTGGTGTTAGAATCACAGAGAGCAGAGAAAGGAGGGGAATGAACTCCAAGATATTTAGGAAAGAGAATCCATCCAGTGTAGTTTAAATAAAAGTATACTAAGCCAGGTGTGGTGGCACACACCTGTAATCTCAGCGCAGGAGAATCACCGTGAGCCTGGGCTACACAGTACCAGGCCAGCCTGAACTGCATAGCAAAACCCTGTCTCAAAAAAAAGACAAATAAATAAAAGTATACCAGAGAAAAAACATGACATGATGGATTAGTTATGTCAAGAGAAAATGAAAAACTAGAAGTTGAACCCAGGAGACTTGAAGCATTAGTTATGTGAAATTTAGAAGGAAGGAAGCTAATTTAGGAGCAAGCACGTTTTAGGCTGGAGTTTTCCAACTATAATCTCAGGAGCCAGACCAAAGTATTCTATCAAAATGAATTTTTTTTTTTTTTTGTACCGGGAATCGAACTCAGGAGCTTGCGCTTGCCAGGCAGGCGCTTTCAAAATGAATTTTTAACCACTTGGGAAACAAACAATATTTAGGAGCGCTTTCTCAATTTTAACTTTCCTCATTAATTTCTTTGAAATAACTGATTCATACATACAAACGTGAGATCTGACTACTTTGAAAACTAATTTCAGGTTATTAAAAAGACACTAATTTTTCAACTGATTCATGTGTTCTCAGTCTGTGTGATAAAATTAGGGTTTATATTTTTTTTTATTTATTTCTTGGTCTTTTTGAGACAGGGTCTCCCTGTGCAGTTCAGGCTGTCCTTGAGCTCACTTTGTAGCCCAGGCTAGTCTCAAACTTGCAACGATCCTCCTGCTTCAGCCTCTCAAGTACTGGGATTACAGGTGTGCGCCACCACACCTGGCAGTGTTTTTAGACGAAAGCAAGATATTTAACAGACGGCTGGGGATGTAGTTCAGCAATGCAGCACCTGCCTGGCAAGTGCGAGGCCCTGAGTTCGATTCCTTGTACCAAAAAGGAAAATAGTTAAAAAAAAAAAAAAAGACATTTAACAGAGAAACACTCTATGTTAGCCGGGCATAGTGGTGCACGTCTGTAATCCCAGCACTTGGGAGGCGGAGGCACCAAAAATTCAAGACCAGGCTCTTAGAGAGAAAGAGCCTATCTTAGGGCAAAAACAAATTCTAAACCCACAGAACACTGCATTGTATAAACAATGACCTGTGACAATGGGGTCTTGCCTCACCCACTCTGGCTAATCTTTGCTACATTAACAGAACCCCAGAGACTACCAAAACACATTTTGTTTTACTGAGAAAGGATCTCCCTATGTGTCCAGACTTCACCTGAATTCACTATGGAGCCCAGGATGGCCTTGAACTCGTGGCAATCCTTCTACCTCAGATACCCAAGTGCTCACATTACAGGTGTGCACCACCACACCGGGCCCAAAACGCATTTTTAAAAAGTAAACATTGGAGCCAGGCATGGTGGCACACGCCTGTAATCCCAGCACTCAGGAGGCTGAGGCAGGAGGATCGTTGCGAATTCAAGGCCAGCCTGGGCTACAAAGTAAGCTCAAGGCCAGCCTGAACTGCATAGCGAGACCCTGTCTCAAAAAGATAAAAAAAGAAAAAAAAAGTAAACATTGGAAATGATTTATTTACACTTGAAAAAGTGTATGTTTAGGGCTCCCCCTTGTGCCTGAGATAAGTGGAAGGTACTTAAATGACAACAAGGAAGCTGGATGTGATGGTGCACGCCTGTAATCCCAGCACTCTGGAGGCTGGGGCCAGAGGATCGCTGTGAATTCCAGGCCATCCTGTGCTACACAGTGAGTTCAAGGTCAGCCCAAACTGCATGGTGAAACCCTGTCTCAAAAAGACAAGAAAATAGTGTGGGATATAGCTCTGTGGCACAGCGCTTGCCCGGCAAGCATGAGGTTCTAAGTTCAATTCCTGGTACCAAAACAAAACAAAACAAAAAACTAAAAGTAAGTGACAATGAGGGCCTCAGGGGTGTGCAACAGCCAGCTTGTGCAACCATGGTACCCTCACTTTCATGCATGGACACCATCTTAGAAGCCAGACATACCCTTTTTCTGCCAGTACTGAGGGCTGCACCCAGGATCTTTACCAGCAGCTGGGGCAACTTACCATGACCTTGTCTTAAGATGTGTTTAAATTTTCAAAAGGTTAGGGATGTAGCTCAGTATAAAGACCCTGGGTTCCATCCTCAGTATCGCAAAGAAAGAAGGGCAGGTTCTCACTTTGTTGCCCAGACTGGGTCCACATGCCTGGGTCTTACCTCTTGTTTCAAACCCCTACTATACCCAAAAGTATGTTGTTTTAAACCAGTGAATTACAAACTACAGACCACAGACACTTGGAGGCCAATAGTATGGATCAGATATAAACTAAGCCTAATTATACTCAAAAGTACAGGAATATCATTTACTAATAAAAATGCAGAATCCCTGAAAAGTGTTAATAAATTCATGAGAGGTTTTGGGGTTTTCTTTGTTGTTGTTTTTGAGACAGGGTCTCTCAAACTCAAAGGGAACTTCCTGCCTCAGCCTCCCGAGAGCTGGGATTGCAGGTGTACACCACCACACCCGGCTGAGAGTTTTTTAAAATACATTTTATTTATCAATGAGGATCAAAAGAACACAAATATCATCATGGAAGGGAAGAATTTTGGGGCAAAACTTTTTGATATTTATAGAAGAAAAGATGGCAACAGTTATAAGTAATGCTATCAGTGACCAGCTCCGAACTCACTGAAGAATCACATTTGACCCAGTCATTCCAAATGTATTCAGGTATCACACATCATGGTGAGTACTATAGATATATACAACTTTTACTTGTCAACTAAAACAATGACCTGAGATTTTCTAAGTAGTGACCTAGTAGTGATTATGTGTGCAAAAGACACTGACTACTATGATAATGAGTGAGATTTTCATCTTATATATGTAAGACACAAATGAAATCTAGGGAATCTAGGGATTCTACATTTGTGTCTTGGACACAAATCCTCTACTTGTTTTTTTTTTTGCAGGAAAAAAGGATAAAGAAAGAATACATATTCTATTCTCTAATTTCATTAAGCAAAACTAACAGCTTTTGTATTTGTTTTGTTTTGTTTTGTTTTGTTTTTTGGTTTTTCTCTGGTACCGGGAACTGAACTCACGACCTTGCGCTTGCCAGGCAGGCGCTTTGCCGCTGAGCTAAATCCCCAGCCCTTGTATTTGTTTTGTTTTAAAGACATGGTCTCTACAAATTCTAGGCTGGCCTTGAACTCCCAGCAATCCTCCTGTCTCAGCCTAAGTGATGGGATTATAGGCTTGTGTCATCATGACCAGCTCTTTGTCCTCAGTTTATGAATAAGACGTATTCCTGGGAAGGAAAGCAAATTCTTACTTTGCATCTACAAAATAAGACCGGGCATGGTGGCGCACGCCAGTACTCATGAGGCTGAGGCAGGAGGATCATTGCTAGTTTGAGACCAGCCTGGGCTACACAGGGAGCTCAAGGCCAGCCCAACCTGCATAGCGAGACCCTGCCTCAAAAAGACAAAAAAAACACACACAAAAAAAACCAGAACATAAATATGAAATACCGCTAAGTGTAAGAAACGCATTAGTGTGTCTACAAAACAGTTCATGGACTTCAGGTGGTATTTACCATGCAGTAACCTAACAAACGCACAAATTACTACAGACATTCTTGTCACAATCAACCAACAAAAAGTTTGATATTTGTGGTAAATGTATTTGAAAACATCACCCATTTCAAAATAGAACACCTATAAAAAAAATTCTACAATAAATACAAAAAAAGACACAGTAGCAAAAAGCAAGAGCTACACTAGGCAAGAAGAGAACAGAGACAGTGTCAAGGAGAAGAATGGGAGGATACAGCTCCCACTGAGAACACCAACACTGAAGCTTATCTCCAGGGACCAGGCTCCTCCCTCGGAGACCAAAGCAGATCTTGGTGACTCTGAGCAGACACAAGGGCTGCACTATCTGAAGGGCAACAGCACACTGCTGTGATTAAGGGGAGTGCAAGCTCAGAATGATTATGGCCATTCAGACACTGGCCACATCACCCACTGCGCGCCTGACATGGTCAAATGATAACCTTCTGGCTCCATTTCCTTACCTTAAGGTGGGAACTAGGCAAAAAGCTAGGCATGGGGGCTGGGGATTTAGCTCAACAGCACAGCGCCTGCCTGGCAAGCGTGAGGTCATGAGTTCGATTCCCGGTACCGGAGAAAAACCAAAAAAAAAAAAAGCCAGGCATGGTGGCACATACATGTGATCCCAGCACTCAGAGATGGAGGCGAAAGTATCACAAGTTTGAGGCCACCTTGGGCTACACAGTGAATTCAAAGACAGTGTGAACTACATAGTGAGACCCTGTCTCAAGGTGGCAGGGGTAAAGAATTGCCCTTATAGGATTGCTGTGTTGAACAGTAAATGTAGTATTACTTAGAATAAACTGCTACTAGCTATTAACTATTTTGAGAAACATGAGTATTATTCCCTCCTCAAAGATGTCTTCTTTCATATCACTGACACAACACTTATTTCCCAGACTATGAACTGCGTGTGCATGTCTGTGTGTGTGTGTGTGTGTGTGTGTGTGTGTGTGTGTGTGTTTGTGAGAGAGAGAGAAAGAGAGAGAGAGAGAGAGATATTGAACCCAGGGCCTTCATGTGGAGCTACACCCTCAGCTCTTTCCCTAATTGTTATCTTGTGACAGTCTCCTACACTGCCCAAGCCAGGCTCCAACTTGCAACCTCCCTGCCTTCTGGGTCCTTGAGTGCTGCACCTATAGCGGTGCACTACCATGTCTGACTTACAAACTTTTAATTGTTAGCAATCTTTCCAAGAATTAATCCAACTTTAGTTCTATAAGATGCTAGTTCTCTTTTTACCCAACAAGGCAGCTCCCAAATAGCGTGTCCAGTTAATCAGTTATGTCTACAGGAAACTGGTAGACATTTTAAAATGTGTACCACTTAACAAATACCTTTGCCTCAACTAATACTAAGAAAGACTTTTTTCTTTACTTAGTAGTGTTGACCATGTCTGATGCAAGATTCAGTCACAATTTTGCTTCTATACAGCCCTGATGTGAAGAATATCAGCTTAAGTATCTGAAGGACTACTGGGCTGAGGCAGAAGGATCACAAGTTCAAGGCCAGCCTTGACTTCATACCAAGACCCTGGCTCAAAGGAAAAAAAAAAGAAAGAAAAAAAATCAGAAGAAAAAGAGAAACTAGTTATAAAGAAGTTAGCTTAAAATGACTTTTTTTTTTAACCTAAAAGGATATAAACTCTATTTTCAATACCTCCTCTTCAGGTTATGACTGCTCAGTAAAACATCCCCAATGCAAACCTTGCAGAAAAACAATCATAAAGGAACGTGTAGTTTCTGTTTATGTTTTTTGAGATAGGGTCTCCCTATATAATTCAAGCTGTGTTGGAACTTACTGTGTAGGCCAAGCTGAACTTGAACTTGCAGCAATCCTCCTGCCTCAGCCTCCTGCATGGGGGGGATCAGAGGTGTGGGCCATGTGCTCTGCAGGGAATGTGCAAAGTATATACAAAGTTTCAAAACTGGCCTAAAGTACACAAGAATCAGAAAGGGAAAGTGACACAACACCTTTGATCACTCCCTCAAATTCAGATGACTTTTGATACTTGCTGTTTGGCTGGATTTCTCTTTCAATAATCAAAACAACCTCCGAGTATCCCCTTGTCACAGAAGAGCAGTTACCAACTACAAAAGGTCTGGAATAGAATTAAAAATGCAGGAGGTCCAATAGCACACCTCTCCAAGATCCTGCACTTTCTTTTTTTTTTTTGGCTTTTTTTCCGGTACCGGGATTCGAACTCACGACCTTGCGCTTGCCAGGCAGGCGTTGTGCCACTGAGCTAAATCCCCAGCCCCGATCCTGCAATTTCAAAACCATACTTGCCCTCCACAGCCACAGGTTATGCACTCAAAGATTTAACCAAGAAGCAAAAAGATTCACACACAAAAAACTTAACCGGCACTGAACATGGACTTTTACCTCGTCACTATTCCTTAGACAACAGAATATAGCTACTGCTTACATAGTATTTATGGTGTGTTAGACAGAATAAGTAATATAGAGAGAATATAAAAAGTAAGAGAAGTCGAGCAGTGGCCCATGGCTGTAATCCCAGCACTTGGGAGGCTGAGGCTGGGGGATCTTTGTGAGTTCAACACCAGCCTGAGCTACAAAGTGAGCTCAAGGCCAGTCTGATCTGCATAGCAAGACCCTGTCTCAAAAAGACCTTAAAAAAAGTGAGGAAGATGTATATAAACTACATGCAAATATGATACCATATATATACTGGACTTGAGCATCTGCATAGTATGTTACGTGGAGTGGAGCGCACCAGCATTTTCAACCTGCTGGTAGCGACAGGTCAATGGGCTGTCTGCTTAATTTTATCATACTCAACATTTTTAATGATTCATATATAGAACCAAGAATTATTGCAAAGGCTGGTGTGGTGATGCATGCCTATAATCTCACCACTTGGGAGGCTGAGGCAGGAGGACTGCTGTCAGTTGAAGGCCAGCCTAGACTATGTATAAAGACCCTGGCTCAAAACAAACAAAAAATAATTGCAGAGCATGAAAAGAAAATGTTATCTTTTGAAATTTTTGTATCTGTGTTTATATGTACTAGATCACTGTGTAAAATATATTTCTTATTGTAAGATGTACTAAAAACATTTGCAAATCATTTACTAAAACGTTTGCTAAAATTTATTTGCTGCTTCCCAAGAAATATGTAACATAGGTAACCTGATGAGTTTTATATCATAGCTGACTTACTAAATAGTTTGTGGCCAAGTGTGGTGGCACACACCTGTAATCCCAGTGCTTGGGAGGCTGAGGAAAGAGGATCGTTGCGAGTTCAAGACCAGCCTGGACTACCAAATGAGCTCAAAGACAGCCTGAACTGCATAGTGAGACGTTGCCTCAAAAAGACATAAATAGTTTGAGATCTTCAAGAGACTTTCCATCTACACAGAAGTTTAGTGGTACCCTAAGGTTGTGTTCAATACTTGGTGAGTTCAAGTCATATCAAAGTGGATCAATCAGCATATGAAAACAAAGATTTGCAAAAACTTTTAGTATTATGTAGCTTTATTTCTAATTGGCTACTTAATGTGAAACCAATTCTACACCAACTTTAGTCAGGCAAAGCATGAGAACGCGAAGAGGCTAACGTTCCAGTTACTCTACTTGATGCAACCAGAACTGCATGTTCTTGTCCTTCACAGGTGGCAAGTCTCAACTCAAAGTTCAACCTAAAGGAAACAACAAAATACGTAGTATATCAGTAGCTACAGCCTCTGGGCCAGGCTGGGCCTGGTGATGCAAGCTTATAATCCCAACATACTATAGAGGCTGAGACATAAAGATAGCTCAGTGTTTGATGCCAGCCTGGGCTACATAGAAGACCATGTCTCAAAAAAATAAAAATAAAGCCTTCTGGGCAAATCACTTTTAAGAGCATGAAAAGAATTTTCATCATGCCTGCTTTGAAAGTAATTTCAACAAAGCCCTTAAAACACAAAACTGCCTAACACATACCACCAATGAATGAATGAATAGTAGGGCTCTTCTTTTTAACATTTATCCAAGAACCAAAGTGAAGTTTTGTTTAAAATTCTATTTTGCAGGTTATGGTGGCGCACGTCTGTAACCCCAGCACTCGGGAGGCTGAGGCAGGAGGATCATTGCGAGCTTGAGACCAGCCTGGGCTACAAAGTGAGCTCAAGGCCAGCCTGAACTACATAGCGAGACTCTATCTCAAAAAGACAAAAAAAAAAATCTTAAGAGAGTTGTATGAAACAGATAAGATCCCTCCAGTCAGCTGGTAGAACTGTATGCAAGTGCTAAGCTGACTGGTGCAGAGCCACTTAGGGTTTGACAGTTTGCCGGCCCCATCTGACTCTTTGGAGGCCTCGACTTTAACTCCACACCCACCGCTAACAATCAACTTTTAAAGGTCAAAGGGGAGCCAGTTTCTAACCTTCCCACAGCACGTGTTCCACACAAACTTCCGGGTGCAGTTACAACTAGCTGCGAAACGCAATGCATTAAAGACGTCGCTCTGACTCTCATTCTCTCGCCCGTTCTTTTCCTACGTTTCTCAGCCAGCGACTCCCAAAAACAAAAGCCTCCCACAGTAAACGGAGCAAGCACATAAGAAGAGCTTCTCTGCGCAAGGATCAAGTTAGTGGTCTGCAAACATTAACTAAACCGAAGCACAAAGCCGGGTGGAGAGGGGAGGAGCCGGACGCCAGGGTCAGGAAAGAAACAATCACAAGGGCTCAGAACATCCAAATCTCCGCAGCGGTTAAACCGATCCCAAACCACTTCTGGGAAACCACGAGCCGACACTGCTTTGGGGAACTTTGGATGCTCGGTACAGCGGACACCGTCCGAGGAAGCCAATGCGCCACCGCCACCCCTCCCACGTTATACCTACCCCGAGGGTCGGGGAGGTCAGCACGCTCGCTCCAGGCAAAACTCAGCTCCGCACCGGGTGAGGCAGGAACGCAGCCCCCACGTGTCCCACGCACCGTCCCCGCCGCGCCCCGCACGAGGTCCGCGCGCCCCGCCCGCGAGGGGTGCAGACCCAGCACGGACAAGCCCGCCGCCTCCTTCCCTCCCCGCGCCCAAAGCGGGAGCAGTGCTCGGAGGAGCGGCACTCGGGAGGACCGCGACTTCACTTTCCCCGCGGGCCCGGGGCCGCGAGGCCCCGGTGTTGCGGGGAAGCTAACGGGGTGACCCCCGAGCTGCCGGCTGCGCAGACCCTGCCGCCCCGTCCTCGGGCCGCCGCGGGCTCGGGACAGCG